ATCGGACCATTTCTTCTGGCTAATCCCCCACAAAGGGTCAACGTTTTAAATAACCAAAACATTTATAAAATGAGAAAAATGCTTCAGGTTCTCTCTATATTTCACACATACAAACATTTTTTTTAACACAAGATTTGTTGTGAAGATGGGATATATCGCTCCTCCCCTTCTGGTGCCTCCCCCATAAAGTCTCAAAATTTTGAATATCCATGAAGCTCATAAAAAGCGAAATCAACATTCGATTACATTCAGACTTGGTGCATCTCAATATATCCATCAACACAGATCTGCTATAAAGATGATAGACGTCGGACCATTTATTTTGCTACCTGCCCCACATGGAGTTCAAGATTTTGAAAAACAAAACCCTCAAACAAAGCGAAATAAGCATCCAACTGTCTTCAAATTTCACACCGCAATATTTATATCATATATATTTAGGACCGATACGAAATGGACAATATTGGCCCATTTCTTTGGAACCTACGCCTTGAGGGTCAAAAGTTTGAATAATCGTAACAGAAGTTAAAATATATCCAAATGACGATTTTGCAACAACAAAATACAATGGTATCCCAAACAAGCAAGCCAAACACTGTTCTATTAATAGACACAGGCACGGTCGACGAAGGGGTTTTTGTTGTAACAGATAAAACAAACTTACATGGTTATGTTACTTCGTTCAGGTTGAACGAAAGCATAACAAGTGGAGAAAGATGTAAATGTTTATAAGTGCGGTTGTAAGATTTAGAAGATTTTCCAAAAGAATTTTAGTTTTATGTAATTCTTTTGTTCCTCTTCTATTGAGCTTACGATCTCGTCACTTGGTAAAAAAATGTTTTTTGTCATAGAAGTTATTTTTTAAAATAACTTCTGGGGAGAATATCCCAGACAAGAAACAAGGGAACTGATGAGGATTGGTGGCTCTTTCCGAAACCTAGGTATTCCCTGCCTTACCCCCTGGTAAACATTACCATCGTTCTCCACTCATAAACAAACGTTGTTTTTATAAAAACAACAATAATGGGATTTTGCCTGACGATTTTGCAACAACAATATATCCAAATAATGGAACATTGGCTGAGGATATACATCTGTCGGCAAAACCGACTGATATTTTTTAACTTGTTTTATGAAAATCTTGATAAGGACAATTCTCGTACTGTCATCAGTAAAATTTCCGAAGACACCCTAAAAGCATAGATTCCAAGAAATGTTATTTCGAAAATTTCAAATTATGAGGAAGAGTGGGGAAACTTACCACCTCTATATAGGTAACTTTTTGATGTAAATTTTCAAAACTCAGACAAATGTGTATTTTATTTTTATTTGCACTTTCATAATCCGCTGGATTTTTCCCTATAATTATTTTTTGTGTTGCAAGGTAATATTTAACTTGCTTTAAAAATATTTAAAATTTATATATTTTTCAAAATAATTTGCTGATTTATATTTTCTAAATGATTTTTTATTTTTCAGTATTTTTAGTAGAATCCATTAGTTGTTTCGAATCCAATTACTCCACATTTTATTGATTTAATTTTTTTTTTCAATGAAAACTAAATTATTCATGCATTTACCTCAACATCGTCATCATTGTGCGTCGCCAGATGTTCTACAACAAACGAGCTAAGGTCATTACGGATTCTTCGCACATGTCGCTGTGTTTTGTTTTTTTTTTCTAATTTTTTTATAGCGTTGGTGGTGTTTAGGAAGTTGTTTTGCTTTTGTTTTTTTTTTTTATTGCTTACCTCGTTGCTGGCTCTTGTTCGTCTGGGTCTGGTCGTTTACTTCCTCTCCCTCCACCAACTTTGATTGAATACCAAAGAAATATGCTATTCGTCGTCGTCGTTGTTATTATTAGGTTTGTTCCGTTCCATTCCATTCGCCGCCCTCAAACACACAGTTCAAGTGTGTTGTGCTGGCGGGCGAGGTGAAACCTTCAGAACAATTAGCAATTCTTCTTTTCAACTTGTTGTTGTTGTTTTTTTCTATTTACAACAAAATGTTATTGTTTTAATAGCGTACATCCAGATTTGTTTTGTGTTTGCTTTTATGGTTCAGGTCATAATTGTACGTAGCGAACTACATGCGAATAGACAGACATTAAAAACCATAAATGGTTTTGCTAGCCATGCCATTGACTTGATTCAAAGGCCGGTCATTTGATGAAATTAACAAAGAAATTCAGTTAAACTGTCTGTATTTCATAGAGAGAGAGAGAGAGAGAGAGAGAGAGAGAAAGGGAGAAGATACGTTGAACAAGTTTGAAAAGTAAGTGTCATATTTGAATTAGCTTTTCTCTGAGAGAATAGAGTTTTCTTTAGGGGAATTGAGGCTTCCTTAAGAAAAATGCATATCTGCCAGTCTGAATAGGAGTTTCCCAAAAAAAATTCTTTTCAGTCAGGCTGAATATTTTTTGTTAGAAAAACTTCCACTAAACATGGCTTTTAAGGTGGTCTTTTATAGATTTAACAAGTAAAAAAGCTGTAAGTTCGGCCGGGCCGAACTTTTAATACCCTCCACCATTTGGTACAAATTTGGCAATTTCCAAAAAATAAAATCCGTTAAAAAATTCTGTTAAAATCTTAAAAATACCGAATGCTTATACAATTTTCTGGCATGGCTGAAGTATCCATTACGATCTTCACATGCGAAATTTGAAACAATCCCTGTAAATAATGTCGCTAAAATCATTAAAATACCGAATATCGGGGGGTACCGTTATATGGGGGCTATATGAAGACGTGGACCTACATGGCTCATTTTTTGACTTTGGATGAAGTATCCATTACGAACTTCAAATACCAAATTTGAAACAATTCCGGTAAACAATGTCGCTAAAATCATCAAAATACCGAATATCGGGGGGTGCCGTTATATGGGGGCTATATGAAGACGTGGACCTACATGGCTCATTTTTTGATTTAGGATGTAGTATCCATTACGAACTTCAAATACCAAATTTGTAACGATTCCGGTAAACAATGTCGCTAAAATCATTAAAGTGCCAAATATCGGGGGGTACCATTATATGGGGGCTACACGAAGACGTGGACCTGCACAGATAATTTTCTGTCTTAGGCTGTAGTATCTATTACGAACTTCAAATGCCAAATTTGAAATAATTCCGGTGAATAATGTCGCTAAAATCATCAAAATACCGAATATCGGGAGGTACCGTTATATGGGGGCTATATGATAACTTGGACCTACATGGCCCATTTACGAACTTAACCTGCCTACTGGCAAAATATACATGTGTGCAAAATTTTAGCCTTCTATCTCAATTTGTTCGAAAGATAGCGTGATTACAACAGACAGACAGACAGACGGACAGACAGACAGACAGACAGACAGACACACAGACAGACAGACGGACATGGCTAAATCGTCTTAGAATTTTACGCTGATCAAAAATATATATACTTTGTTGGGTTTGACATGAATATTTCGAGGAGTTACAAACGGAATGACAAAATTAATATACCCTCCATAGTATGGTGGAGGGTATAAAACCAGAAAAGAAAGTCTTAAATTTGTACGGGGCCGACTTTATGATACCCTACACCCCTTTGCATATTTAGCAGAGCTTCACCTAACAAATAAAAGCTTTTTCGGGAAATTTGTGAGAATTAAATCATACCAACTATGATGATTGTTGTAAATTAAAATTCAAAGGAATCATATATTAATTCCTTTGAATTAAGGAGGAATATATATGGAAGCTATAGCTTTATCTGAACCGATTTTCACCAAATTGTCACCAAATTGTTATTTCTGTGCCCAATTTGGTTTTAAGTGCCAAATTCCATCACATTTCTGCTAATATTACACGTTGGTGCACAATAAAAAGCAAATCGGACAAAGATATATATGGGAGCTACATATATCCAAGTCTGAACCGATCTCGATAAAATTTTGCGAGGGTATTTCTAAGCTGTATTTCATATATTTTCCCAAATATCGTTGTTAGAGAGTGCATACTACGGCTGCGGAGGAAAAAAATAACAAATCGGATGAACCATATATATGGTAGTTATATCCAAATCGGAACCGATCTCGATAAAATTTTGCAAGGGTATTTCTGAGCTGTATTTGCTATATTTCCCTGAATATCGTTGTTACGGAATGCATATTACGGCTGTGGGTAACAACTATAACAAATCGGATGAACAGTATATATGGGAGCTATAGCTATATCTGAACCGATCTTCACCAAATTTGACATACTAGCTTCCAGACTCAATTCGGTCGTAAGTGCCAAATTCCATCCCATTTGGACAAATATTAGACGTTTGGTGCACAATAAAAGGTAAATCGGACTAAGTTTTATATGGGAGATATATCCAAATCTGAACCGATCTCGATGAAATTTAGCAAGTGTATTTCTGAGCTGTATTTGCTATATTTCCCCAAATATTTTTGTTACAGAGTGCATATTACGGCTGCGGAGGACAAAAAATAACAAATCGGATGAACCATATATATGGTAGCTATAGCTATATCTGAATCGATTTTGATCAAGTTTGACAAACTTATTTCCAGGCTTAATTTGGTTGTATGTGCAAAATTCCATACTATTCGGGCTGATATTACACGTTTGGTGCGCAATAAATAGCAAATTCGACGAAGATATATGTGGGAGCTATATCTAAATTTTGACCGATTATCTCCATTTTCTATAGTCCTTGGGTCAAACAAATGAGTTGTGCAAAATTTCATGTGGATCGGGCAATAAATGCAACCTGTAGTTGGTTTACAAAAATACATGGAAAGTCGGAAATCGACTCAGAATGTGATTTTATGCAGATCATCAAAAGGAACTATGACCTATCTCGTTTCCTTTTGCCTGTTACAAACAATCCCACAAAAACAAAATACCCTGACCACAGTGTGGTGTAGGGTATAAATATCAAATTTTTCTTCTTCCCCTTTATTACTTTACCTTTATTATCAAGTAATTCTAAAATTGTTTCCCTTTGCTTATTTCATTGCAGGTTACACATTCGTCCCTTGGGTCTATTCTTTTTGTTTATTTTCGGTTTTTGGTTCTATAAAACCCGCCTGAATATACGCATACAAACCCCGCCCGAATTGAAAAAGCATTTACAACAGATCGAACAACGTCTATTGGAGTGGCGTCAGAATAGACCAGTCATGTTCAGTGCTGTGGCAAGCGGTGCTCTGGGAGCCTTGGCCGTTGTTGGTCATTTGGTGACAGGTTCAATGGCGGTGCTGGCTGGACTTGTGGTTGCCGTTGTCATATCGAGCAAATATAATTTCAAAATCATGAAAATCGAACCAAGTGGTAAGTAAGATGACACTTAAAATATTCCTTTTAGTATTTCTAATTATCTTCTCGATTTCTTACAGAACTCACAGATTGGACCGAGAAAGTATATCCGGAAACCGAAATGGATGATGAATTTATGCCCGAAGTCAATGAGACCAATTTGTTTCTTTTGGAAAGAGCCAGCGATCTGGCCTCGCTCACCTCACCCACAGAGGATTTGGAGAATGATGAAGACAAAAGCGATGAAGTACCCTCAGAATTGTTAATACCCGATTCCATACCCGAAATAGATGAAAACTCCACAGACGAAGAACAAGATGATTTAATGCCCATCATAAAGTCATCTCAGTTGAGAGAAGAAACACCGGTGCCAAGCTCCTCCACAACAGCCACCACAGTTAAATATTCCCAATCGGGTGATGCTATTGAATTTAAAAAAGGTCACTTTAAACGTGACTCTTCACTGTCGACCACATCCTCCTCGTCGGAGGAATCACTGTCAAAGGGACTGCAGTTTCCCGATCACACAACGGTGGTGGATAGTGCCCGAAAATCACAATCTACGGCCGCCGCCACCGCTGGCCACAATCAAGAGGTCAACGATGTTGTGGCGTTGGCCGTTAAAGCACAAACACAAGCTTTATTCAGTAATGGTTCGAAACTAATACCCACAATTGTATCGGGTTTGGTGCAAAATGTTTTGGGTACCAGCGGTACGGCGGGCGGTCCAATGATTATACCACCCAAAAGAGTGCTATCCACCAATCTAGAGTCATCGGATGAAAGTGATTTTGAAATTCTAGAAGATGAAGATTTTCAATAAGCAATTTTGAACTGCAAACAACAAATATCCCCCAAAACACACACACACATACATATTTTCAAAACATATTTAGGACATTTATTAAAACAACAACAACAAATAAGAAAAAATGATGATAAGCTAAACGAAAAAAAAAGATTTGTGAGTTATAAGGCGATGCTACAGTTATTGAAAAAGATACTTTAAATTGGAAACAATCCATACAGTCGATGGTAGGAGGAAGAATGTAAAAGCATTTTGCTACGATAACCGATTTTGATATCAAAAAATATTGCAAAACTAACAGAGCATCTGTTGCCAAATTGTTGTCAAATGTAGTCTTCTTGTTCCACCTTATATAGGCCTTGGGGCTACCCAGAAATATGTGAATGTAAATCTGTGTGAGATATATTAAACTTCCTTCAGAAGATAGAAAAAAGGTATTTATATTCTTTAAAAGTATACTTTTTTTAATATGTGTGGACAACGTCTTATTTTACTTCGTTTCTATTTACAAATATTGTTCTTTTTATTTTTGGTATATTATTTTTTTAAGAAATCCCATTAGACTGGAATAAGGGTGTCTATAGTTTCTCTTTATGGAACCAAAGTAAAGAAAGCAATCATTGAAATAAACCTACTTTTTATTGTTTCTTTCTTTTTTTGTGTGTAAATTAAAAAAAAACCTATATATTTTTGTTTATAGTGTTTTATTTTTATTATTTTTTATTTTTTATTGCAGATGCTATATGTTTTATTTATATATACTCTTATTATTTTAAGTTTTATGTTTGCTTGTTTTGTCGATTTTAGTTTCTATATTTCTTTGTAATTATCTCATTTACTTACGAAACAAACAAAACCTAATGAAACCATCATCAACAAGAAAAACAACAACAACAATTGTGATTATTTTTTACTGCTTAATATAAATAAATAAATAAATACGACAAGTTTAAAATGTAAAAAACTGAATAAAAAGAAAAAAACAAATAAAAATCATAAAAAATAAATAAAAATTAAAACTTTATTTTTTATTTTTTTTTTTTCTAATTATCAAATTTAAATGTTATTTATTTTTTGATCTACAATTGCAATCAAGGCCTATAAAATATCTGACTACTAAGTTCGTTGTCAAAATACATAACATACTGTCAAATTGTTGCCAAAGGTAGTCTTCTTCTCCGAAATTATATAGGCATTGATTACAATGTTTTCCCATTGGTCTACCTTTCTTCTTTCTTTATCATTGTTTTTGTGCGATTCTATTTATTAAAAGTGGTACAAAGTTAAACTGACTATTGAGGACCTACGATGTCAAATAATGCTTTAGGCGATATATGTATAGATTGTTTACATAGAATGTCACGAAGTACAAAAAGCTTCCCGATCGTTTTTATAACCTTGTCCACCTGTACAAACTTTCTTTAATTAAATCTTTCCTTTTTTGCGAAACAGATAAACTTTCTATTTATATTATATATAAAAATAAAACAAATGACCAGCAATTTTTTAGTGTATAAGCAAAATAAAAATAGTAATTAAAAAAATCTATCACAAGTGATAAACAAAATAAGAAAAAAACATAACATAAGATAATATTGATGGCCAAAAATAAATCTAAAAAAATATATAAAATTACATTTTATTGGTGTTTCTATGTTCCTGACATTTTGAGACAAAATAAGTAAAACAAAAACCAGTAAAGTAGGTCTTAAAGTCGGGCGGGGCCGACTTTATGATACCCTACACCACTTTGCTAATTTAGTAGAGCTGCGCATAACAATTAAAAGTTTTTATGTGTGAATTAAATCATACACGCTATGATTATAATTATAAAGTTCAAAGGACTAAATTTGCCTAAGCATATGTATCTTATAAATTCGGACTTGTATTGCCCATTTGGTGCACAATTAATTAGAAATCGGATAAAAATATATATGGGAGCTAAATCCAAATCTGAATCGATCTAGATAAAATTTGGCAAAGATATTTCTGAGCTGTATTTGATCTATTTCCCTGAATATTGTTGTTACGGAGTGCATATTACGGCTGTGGGTAACAAATATAACAAATCGGATGAACAATATATATGGGAGCTACAGCTTTATCTGAACCGATCTTCACCAAATTTGGCATATTATCGGTCGTATTTGCAAAATTCCATCCCATTTGGTCAAATATTAGACTTTTGGTGCACAATAAAAGGTAAATCAGACGAAGTTATATATGGGAGCTATATCCAAATTGGAACAGATCTCGATAAAATTTAGCAAATGTATTTCTGAGCTGTATTTGCTATATTTCCCCAAATATTGTTACAGAGTGCATATTACGGCTGCGGAGGACAAAAATAACAAATCGGATGAACAATATATATGGGAGCTATAGCTATATCTGAACCGATTTCGATGAAATACTTATTTTCAGGTCCAATCTGACCGTACGTGCAAAATTCCATACAATTCGGACTGATATCACACGTTTGGTGCACAATAAAAGGGAAATCGGACGAAGATATATATGGGAGCTATATCTAAATTTTTACCGATTATCTCCAATTTCAATAGGGTTCGTCCTTGGGCCAAACAAATGATTTGTGCAAAATTTCATCTGGATAGGGCAATAAATGCGAACTGTACTTTGTTTACAAAAATACATGGACAGACGGACGGACGGACATGCATAAATCGACTCAGAATGTGATTCTATGCAGATCATCAAAAGGAACTATGGGTCTATCTCGTTTCCTTTTGCCTATTACAAACAAATGCACAAAGACATAATACCCTCATCACCTTGTGGTGTAGGGTATAATAATATATATATAATAATAAACTACAAATACCAGTAAGACCGTTTGGGTAATGCTCCTGAACTTTTCAAAGAACCATAAAGCGAGTGAGGCCGTTATATGGGGGTCATACCAAAACGGGAAACTCTATAGATAATTTTATACTTCAAGGATTTCCATCTACCAAATCTTCTTAAATACCAAATTTGAAACACTTTCGTGGGTAAATCGATTGATATCGTTATATGTGTGCTATAGGAAAACGTGGACCCAAATATTCAATATTCTGACACGGGAACTAGAACCCACTATGAACTAGAAATACCTATTTTTAGACAAATCCGTGGAAAAATGTGTCAATAATCCAAAACTGAATATCGGGAGGTACTATTATGTGAGGGTTACACAGGAGCTGGAACCCATTACGAACTACAAATACCAATTTTTGGACAAATCCGAAATGACAAACTTTTCAAAGTGGAGGGTATAAAAAGATAGAAAGTTTCAGTCTATCTATTCAGTAACTTATTGGGGGATGTGTAGTAAAACAAGTTAAAAAGCAGTAAGTTCGGCCGGCCCGAACTTTGAATACCCTCCACCATTTGGAACGAATTTGGAAATTTAAAAAAAAATCCGTTAAAAATACGGAATATAGCCGTTATATTGGGGTATATACGACGCATGGCACAATTACAGAAGGTAGAACAAAGCTACACCCTATACCATATAGCTACCAAAGCTATAGGGAGATACTCATATATGGGGCCTATACGAAGACCTGGACCTGCATAGACAATTTCCTGTCACAGACTGTAGTTCCCATTACGAACTCTAAATACGTAATTTGAAACTACTCCGATGAATAATGACGCTATAATCATTAAAGTACCGATTTGGGAGGTACTTTATATGGGGGCTATACGAAGAAGTGGATCTGCACAGAAAATTTTCTGTCATAGGCTGTAGTATCCATTACAAACTTCAAATACCAAATTTTAAACAATTCCGGTGAATGATGTCGCTAAAATTATCAAAATACCAAATATAGGGAGGTACCTTATATGGGGGCTATACGAAGAAGTGGACCTGCACAGACAATTTTGTCATAGGCTGTAGTATCCATTACGCACTTCAACTACCAAATTTGAAACAATTCCGGTGAATGATGTCGCTAAAATCGTCAAAATATCGAATATCGGGGAGTACCTTTGTATGGGGGCTATACGAAGACGTGGACCTGCACAGACAATTTTGTCATAGGCTGTAGTATCCATTACGCACTTCAACTACCAAATTTGAAACAATTCCGGTGAATAATGTCGCTAAAATCGTCAAAATATCGAATATCGGGGAATACCGTTGTATGGGGACTATACGAAGACGTGGATCTGCACAGACAATTTTCTGTCTTTTGCTGTACAATCCATAACCAACTTCAAATACCAAATTTGAAACAATTCCAGAATGATGTCGCTAAAATCAAAGTCAAAATATCGAATATCGGGGAGTACCATTGTATAGGGGCTATGCGAAGACGTGGACCTGCACAGACAATTTTTTGTCTTTGGCTGTACTATCCATTACGAACTTAAAATACCAAATTTGAAACATTTGCGATGAATGATGTCGCTTAAATCACCAAAATACCGAAAAATGGAAGGTACTGTTATAAAACGTTCTATAGACCCATAATCAATTACCTTGAATTGATTGACAACAGTTAAAATCCTCACCTTAATATTCTTTAGAACTCTTCTATAACATTAAAATTTTTAAAAGTCGGATCTCTTTAGAAAATCCGTTTAATATTTAAAAAATGCATAGTCACACAATGTGATCTGGCAACATTGGCGTAAATTCCGTAAGTTGGCAATTCCTTCGTCTGCACGCCGCCGCCGATTTGTATACACTTGATGGGACGGCGCCGCCAAGAGATCCATATACTTCGCTATCACTTCCCGTGCCCAGTTTATCTTCAAAATATTATAATTTGAAATGAGTTTACTTTGATTTAATTGTACCATGCATCATCGCTGTAACTCCCGCTCAATCGAAGGGCCTGCACCGTGTTGTTCAATGGTGTGTAGACCACATTACATTATTTTCCTCTTTCCCTTTTTTGTTTCACATTTTGTAGCTAGTTCCGCGCTCTTTTAGTGAATGTGTTCAGTTTTCCTCATGTCTCATTCGTAAACAACAGAGTCTTTGCTTTCTGTTTATTTTTTATCGGGTATCCCTTTGTGGCCTTCATATTCGTTTCGTTGGTGACGACTTACCACGCGCGCATAGCCAGCCAATACACGTGCCCAGTAAAATTTCAATTGTACAATATTCCCTAGTTCAGAGAAAAATAATATAAAACAAGAAAGAACATGCCTCCCATATCACAGGAAGGCAACTGCCTAATATATCGTGGAAGTAATTTCTTCAAACAACGTCTAATCCTATCGGTGCTGAGTGGGAAGCCAGTAAAAATCACACAAATTCGCTCTGACGATGAAGCCAATCCGGGATTGCGGGAGTACGAAATTGGTTTAATTCGTCTATTGGATAAGTTAACAAATGGTACAAAAATTGAATTAAATCCTGCCGGTACATCGGTGATGTTTGTTCCTGGTCTGCTGCACGGTGGTCAGCTGCATCATGATTGTAGCTGTCAGCGTAGCATTGGTTATTATTTAGATGTTTTGATTGCTTTGGGACCCTTCTGTAAGGTGCCGCTGAACGTGACATTGCGTGGCATTACCAACAGCAAAGATTCACCTTCGGTGGATCATATCAAAGGTGCTGCTATATCGGTGCTCAAACGTTTCCTGGTCGTCGATGAGGGTCTAGAATTAAAAGTTGTTAAGCGAGGAGTTGCTCCCCTGGGAGGTGGTGAAGTTTTATTCAAGTGTCCGGTACGCAAAACCCTACGATCCATACAATTCACCCAACAGGGTATGGTGAAACGTATACGAGGTACTGTCTATGCCTGCAAAGTATCACCGGCAATGGCAAATCGTACAGTGGAAGCGGCCAAGGGTGTCATGTTGAAATTCCTGCCCGATGTATATATTTATACCGATCAAAATCGTGGTAAAATGTCTGGTAATTCACCTGGATTCGGTATATGTTTGCATGCAGAGACCACCGATAATGTGGTCTTCGCTGCCGAGGTGAATTCCCATACAAAAGATGAAGCCGGGGAAAGAGATCCTTCGGTGCCTGAAGACATGGGCAAGGAGGCTGCATTACGTTTGCTGGATGAAATCTATCGTGGAGGCTGTGTTGATTCGGCATATCAATGGCTGGTGGCGTTGTTCATGACATTGGGTCAGAAAAATGTATCCAAATTTATGACGGGTAAGTTTCAAATCAGTAATCTAATTTCTCCCAAAAGAACTAATGAAACATAATTTCTGGAGAATTGTTCTTTAGAATAATTTTCTTTAAAAATGCTGTGTACAGCTATTTTTAAAAATAGTTTTGCTTTTTTCTTCAGACCACGGAGAAAATTTTTTCTGAAGCAAAATCTTTCTTAGTCCCTTGAGGACAGTTTTTTAATTGGTCAGAATTCCGAGTATAGTTTTTTTCTACAAAAAATTGTTGTCAATCCAATGAGTAATTGTCGAAATATTCTATAGAATTTTTCATTAGACCAATTCTCTCAGCTATGCTAAAGACAAATTTTTCTATATAAAATTTCTTCAAAATATTTTTCTTCCAAAGTAAAATCTTTTTAAGCCCAATGAGGACAGTTTTGTATAGAAGAGAACTATTTTTTCTATAACCTTTTTTTATAGAAGAAACTGAGGATATATTTTTATAGAAAATATTTTCTCAATCTGCTGTTCCTAAGTCCACAGAGAAAAGACTGGAGATGTAAATTCTTATGAAAAACAAGTAAAAAAGCCGGAGCGATCTTTGAATACCCTCCATTATTTGAAAGAATTTGGCAATTTTCAAAAAAATAAAATCCGTTAAAAATTCTGGTGAAATCTTAAAAATACCAAATGTAGCCGTTATATTAGGGTCTAAACGACGACGGACCTGCATAGGCAACTTTTATCATAAGTCATTACAATATTCAAATACAATAGAGGCTATACTAAAATGTGGATCTTCACAGATAATTTTCTGCCTTAGGCTGCCGTATCCATTACGAACTTCAAATACCAAATTTGAAACAATTCTGATGAATAATGTTACTAAAATCATCAAAATACCAAATATTGGGAGGTAGCGTTATATGGGGGTTATTAGAATACGTGGACCTGCACAGACAATCTCCTTTCATATGCTTCAAATACCAAATTTGAAACAATTCCGGTGAATGATGTCGCTAAAATCATCAAAAATGCCGAATATCGGGAGGTACCGCTATATGGGGGATATACGAAGACGCGGGCCTGCACAGACAATCTCCTGTCATAGGCTGTAGCATCCATTAGGAACATCAAATACCAAATTTGAAAGAATTCCTGTGAATAATGTCACTAAAATCATCAAAAAAACGAATATCGGGAGGTACCGTTATATGGGGGCTATACCAAAACGAGGACCTACATGGCCCATTTTCAATACCAAAAGTCCTGTAGACATAATATACATTTGAGTAAAATTTTATCAAACCATTCATTTCGTTCGGAAGCTAGAGTAATTTTCACAGACGGACGGACATCGCTAAATCGACATAGAATTTTATGCTAATCAAGAATATATACATTTCGAGGTGTTACAAACGGAATGACAAACTTAATATACCCTCCATATTATAGTGGAGGGTCTAAAAATAGGAAAAATATTATTCACTCTACTTGTTTCTCCGCAGAAATTTGTTCCATCGGACCTTTGTAGACAGTTTTCGGTATTTATACTTTTCAGGCTTCGGCGAACATTTTGATACAAAAAAGAATTTGTCAAGTTTCCCTAGAATAGTTTTTTGCAAACATGTTTCTCAGTTCTTCTTTTGATTTTTAATAAACATACATATTCAAACATTTGCTAATATCATTCCGTTTTTTTTTTTCTTCCAGGTCCACTATCTTCATACACTGTTCACTTTTTGCAACACTTGAGAGATTTCTTCTCAATAACCTTTAAACTAGAAAATCCTGAAACAGAAGATGATGACGATTCGGTTGCTGGAGCCCAAAAAGTGTTGATGACATGTGTGGGAATTGGTTATACAAATATTAGTAAAAGGGTTATTTAAAATTGAATTGTTTCAATTGTTAATTATAAGAATAATCTAAGTTTTATTTAGATATTGTAAAATAAAAAAATACGGATTTTTTATTCAATCTTATGTTGCAACGACAATTATTGATTGAAATATTAAACTGAAGGGGTTTTGGGGGAAATTGTAGAAAGATATCCGATATGCGACGAAATCGCAAACAGTAAAAGCGAAAACATATTCAGCAAAATCATTTTATTTGGTAAACCAATTTCAACATTGACCCGATCATATTAACATGGAGGTACTCAATTTTCATTGTCTTAAATTACATAAACAAATAAATAGTAGATCCCAAAAAATAAGGCATACTTTCGCTTTATCAGCTACTTTAAAAAAAAGAAAAATAATAGCTGTTTTTTGCCAAACTAAAAATGAACAATTGAACAACATATCATACAAATATTGTTATTGGTCAGTACATGTTTTAAACGGCTAGCTTTCAACTGACTAGTAAAACTAAACAAAAAACAATAAAATTGTATTGCCTGGAGAGCAAGAGCCTTAGCTGGTCTATATTATGGCATGAAAAAAAGAATCGTGGTAATGGAAATCAAAAATGCTGAAGAAAGTTTCGTAAACTTTGGAACGATTTCAGAACAGCAATACGGCAAGTGGTATTTAGGCATCAACATCTACAAAAAATCATAATATTATATTAAGTTTTATTGGATTTTAGAAGAAATTACCATTATTCTATATGATCGGCAGGGTTTAGTATTACTTAATTGTAATTAAACCTAAATTTATTTAATCTGGTGTATTCAAAAATATGTTTTACATTTCCAATTAAGAGACCGATTTCCTTAAAATGTAATGGTTTTAAAACTTTGAAAAAGTTTCAGGCCGAAAATAATTTTTTTATATATTTTTATGTATATGTAAGAATTTTTTTTTCGATTTCATAAAGGGAAAATGTGTTATCGTAGTAAACATTTTTACATTCTTGAAGTTCTGGAATAGGCCTTTAATTTAACAAATCATGAAATTTGATATGAGAATCGATTCTTGGAAATTCGTTCAGCAAGCGAACCAAAGGTAATGGTGGTAATGATATTGCTCGAAATCTAAAATTTGACATTAGGTTCACTCTAAGTGTATAGGATTGAGATTTGAAGGTGGTTTTGGACATGTGTACTACAAATACTAAGTAGTACTGCCTTTGGTACAATTTGGTATTGTGTGAAGGCATAGTGCGTGAAATCTGAAGTTTGGTATGAGGGTCGCTGTTAATGTGTAGCCTGGATATATGGTAGTGGTTTCGAAAATATCTACTATAATTGTTCGAAAAATACTGAATGGTGATATATTTGGTATTGGGTGAAGGGATAGTGATAAAATTCTGAAATTTGGTTTGAGATTTGGTGGTGGTTTGGTAATGCATCCTATATTTGTAGAAAAAAATACTAAATGGTACTAAATTTGGTATTGGCTGAAATTCTCAAATCTGATATTGAGGTTTTGGTATCTGGAATTGAGGTATAGAGGTGGCATGGAAAATGTGAACTATAATTGTACGAAATGTACTAAACAATACTAAATTTGTTGTTGGTTTAAGTAATAGAGCTGAAACCATGAAATTTTATATTGCGACAACTCTTGGTGTTTAGTATTGAGATATGGAATGATTTTGCAAATAAGTACTACAGTTGTTCGACAAGTACCAAATTGGGTATTGGTTGCAGCGGTGGAGTTGGAATCCGGAAATTTAATATTGAGGTCTCTGTTGGCATCTGGGATTGAGATATGAAACGGTTTTGGGAACGGGATTGAGATATGAAAATGAGTAATATTTGTACGAAAAGTACTAGATAGAACTAATTATGTTATTGGGTGAACGAATAGGGTTGAAATGCCACAAATGTGTCAAATTTGGTATCGAGTTACTGTTGGTTTCAAGTATTTATATATCAAATGTTGTGGCCAATATTTCTTATAAAAATAATAGAATTTGAAGATTTATTTGTCTAAAAGATGAATATTTTTTTCTTATTATTCTTTCCGAATAAGGAAAACTTAAATAATATGTAATACCTTGAAAGTCTGAAAATTTAGTACGATGCATGGGGATTTGATAAAAAAATGATGACAAACTGAATAAATTGTATATTTTGAGTACTAAAAATACCTATCACGAACTGTTGGAACGAATATTATTAAAAAAAAAAACCTCATAATAGTACTGCCTTTGCTACAATTTGGTATTGTGTGAAGGCATAGTGCTTGAAATCTGAAGTTTGGTATGAGGGTCGCTGTTCATGTGTAGCCTGAACCTCATAATAATCCTAATATATTTCTTCTAAGCGTATTCTAAATAATTGAAAATGATTGGTCTAAAATTATGATTGGTCAACCATTTTCTTTTTCTAATACTCATTTAAAAATAATATTTAGTAATCCTAAATAGATTTGAAAAGAAAACCAATTGTTCTAAAAATATACTGAAAACTTCACGATTATTTAGCTTAAAAGATATTTTAACTATAATCTTAAACAATATGTTTACAAGTCCTTTCAAATATACTTTTAATTTTTGTAAAAATTACAAAATTTTTGCTTTGATAGTCCCTTTGAAACATTCTGAAAAAAAAATCGATTACTATTCGAAAATAATATCAATTAGTTCTACAAAAAAATTTTAAAAGTTCTATGTTTTCAAAAATTTTTTTAAATATTTTCTTAAAAATAAAATATTATTGCTTTAATAGCCGCTCTAAAAATCTACAAATAGTAAATAGTCCACCTTAAAGTTTTCTTATAAAAATACACGAAAATTTCTTTGATAGGCCTTGTAAATGATCTCTTATCAAGTCCATTGCTTTTAAAGTTCTTTTAAAAATACAATTGTTGCTTTGAGTATCCTTCCAAAAATATTCTGAAAAATCCTCGATTTCTGCTTTGATAGTCCATTATATATCAAGAAACTATTTAGGAAATGAAAAATAAGTCCTAATTTTTTTAATAAAATTTACACCCGGACTTTTTTCGAATTAACGCCTGAAAGTAACATAAAATTTCGTTTTTGGCGGAAGGTGTCAAATGAAAAAATATTCTAGACAACATTTTACTATAAATCTCAGAATAAACTTTATATATAGATACAATAATTTTTATAAAAATTTCAGGCAAAATGTATGCACTAAAAGTGAAAATTATGTCTTGGCGTTTTTTTACTGTTAATTTATGACGTATCCAATTCTAGAACAAATTTCATTGTGAGTCCTGGAACAAAAGAAGTTTTTGTACTAAATATGTACCATTAAAAAAATATCATAAATTTTGGTTAAAAAAAATTTTATTTTCGACAAATTCAGCATTATTTTCGAATTTGCTGTCACTGTCTAATATGCAGTTACCATGGCCCATGGTAGAATTACAAGGTAACCCTTTCACGCCAGCTGGTATCAATTTGATATGTCAAAAAAATTGTTGTAATTTGAATTCGCCATAGAGAAACATTACCAAAATTCACACTTCAAACCAAGGTAGATCTAACAGGTAACCGCATCGGCGAATTGCTACAACAAAGCAACTTTTGTGGTCCCCTCAAATGTCAAAATTGGCATCTAAGGCGAAAAACATAGATTCGCCATGACATTTAAAGGTTGCGGCAAATTTGTTTCAACCAATCAGAAACGAGGTGTTTGTTTACATTTTATTTTGTGTGCCTTTCGTCGTAAACGAACTTCGCAATAAAAGTTTTTATTGTAAAACAAATAAGAGTAAAATAAGTATTAATTGTAGTATTGCGATATTTTTTAAACCAAGAAACTTATAATGACTATATTTTACTGGTTTAAACCGAAAGTTTTCCGGAACTGCAAATGACAAGAGTCGAATTCTTGCACCACTTCCCGTGATGTGCTTTGGGAATCTTAGATGTTGAGGCTAACTTAATTCTTAAAGCTGCACTCCATTCTATACTCCTTCCTTCATTTTCTTTTAATTATTTTTACTGGTTTCACTCTTAACTTGCTCTTAAATTATTTGAAATATTATAAAAATAGTTTTAGGGAAGACAACATAAACAAATTTGTTGTTGCATTCATTTAGGGCGAATTCTTCATTACAACAATTTGTTTTGACATTTAATGGTGCCGTCAGCTGGGCTGATGCGATTACCTAGTACATCTACCTTGCTTCAAACAGTAACAATAAATAAACTTAGAATACTCTCAGCCATGGTAGAATTACAAGGTAACCCTTTCAGGCCAGCTGGTATCAATTTGATATGTCAAAAAATTGTTGTAATTTGAATTCGCCTTCGTTTACACATAAGAAAATTGTTGCATGATTTCAAACTTTAACAATGCTATTGATAGAAAATCGAGATTTTACGTTTTTATAGAGTATGAGGGAAAAAGTGTATATTCAACTAATGGTAGGCATAGGTAATATGGAGATCTAAAATTCGTGGATATTTTTGAATAAGTGAAACAGGGAATCAATTTCATATAGGAGATAAACCGATACATGAAATTTCATCATCTTATTTGTACGGATTTTCAACTATGTTATACACTATAGGGCTTCAACAGTGAAAGGTGAATGATTCCTAAGCATATTGGATTGGTTTGGGGAACAAAACATTGGCAATTTTTGGGGTGTGATTAATTATTGAGATAATTTTTTATTCAAATTGTTCGAATGTATTAAAGTTATCTATACATAAAAAACTTCCTGTCTGCAATACATTTCATAGCTGAGCAAATAATATGCGTGGACTTACAGTAGACTCAGCCCCCTGTATCTTCTGCAATCTTTGATCCAAATCTTAAGTAAGCCTGAGGAGTAAATATACCCTAAAGTACCTTTTAGGTAGCATGTCACTACAGCGAGAAAGCTGACGATGCAGCAAAAGAAAAAAGGGTACACCCCAGAACCACCACAAAACCTAATTTTAAAGCATCAAAACTAATTTTCCGGATATTTTCTTGTAAAGAACATTATCGCTGTTGAATATGAAATCAACGTTGCCAATGTTACCAAGACTGCATGCTGTGTAAGGATGATGAAGAGATAACAACGATTGGACATCTATTATCGCAAATGTCCTTCGTTGGCGCGCTGGAGACGACGATCACTCCATTTCCAGTCTCTGTGATTTTCAAAAATGTTGTATTGAACGTGCTATAATCAAACCAAGATGCAGCGGCTTCAGCATTACTTTCAATCGATGTTGGAAGTTTTGAATATTTGCTTTTATAATAGAAAAAACAACAATTTTGAAAATTTTTGATTCAATATTTTGATTGGAAAAACAATTTGCCCCAAATTTTGTACTTCAAAACAATTCGCCCTGACTACAACTTTGACATATCAAGTTTCCAAAAAAAGTTGCTTTGTTGTAATTTTCGCCTATGTTGCTACCTGGTATTTCTACCATGGACAAATCTGTATAAACAGGTAAATTTGTGAATTTGGAAATAAGAATTTGCCAAATATGCAGAAAGAAGGAGGTTCCAGGAAGGGGTAAATTTTTTCGGTTCCAAAGGATGAAGTGTCGAGGGCAGAATGGAGGAATGTTTGCCGGTTAGAATTTAAAGTCTTCTGTATGTTCTGAACACTTCTGAACAAATATCCGGATACCAATCTGTTGAACTGTTGTGCCTGGAGTATTTAGGAAAGCAAGGTTGGCATTAAAAATACCAAAGTGTCGATCACCTCAAGCAAGCGCTTCGCCGGGAATGAACCAAAATACCGCAGAACAACATTCGGGCAAAAAAAACTTAGATCGAGTTCGAAGATGAGCAGTATTGGTCCAATCCTACTGGTACTTACCTCAAAAAAAGGTCAACAATTTCAAAGAAAATAATTTTCCTAATACAACAAAAGCAAATCATCCAATTTTGTTCAAACTGTGCAACCCAATAACCATATCACTGCTAGGACGATACCAGTCTACTCTCTCAAGTACCTCCCCCGCAAAGGGTCAAAATGTTGAATAATTTTATTCCTCATAAAATGCATAATAACCATCTAATTTAATCTAAATTTCACACATTCCCATACTTTTACAAATACACATTCTGATAAATGATGTTTCCCTTTTGGTTTTTTTCTTTGTTGACAATTAAGAAATTTGCCGTGATTATTAGATGTCAAGGCGAAACAAGTTTTTTTCGCCTAGAAAAAAAAACAACATATTGACATTAAAACGAACAGACAGAGCTGCATTTTTTACCAATTCTCTTCCTGGCCGACCTTATATAGGCCATGGCAGTTACATTTGTAGAAAATTCCAAGAGAAATTGATAGTACTTGGTTTGGAGATCAAGATCCCATTAAAAGAGTTTCGGATTCTTAGGCCAAACTTTTTAAAGACTTTATGTTGCCGTGAACATAAAAAAAGCAACCCCAATATTTTGAAATATTTTAATATAAAAATATGTAAGATAGTCCTTATTTAAAAATTTAATAAAGTCTATGATTATAATTTTGATATATTTCTTTACATTTTCTTTTATATATCTAAAAATGTTTTAATACTCTTTAAAAAAAAAATAAGAATTCATCTTCTCACATTTTTTGAAAAATTATTTCCAAAACATCCATCTGTTGAACTAAAAATTAACCCCATAAATTATTCCCGATTATATATTGTTTCAAAATAATTTAAACAAATGCGATTGTAAATTGAATTACAAAAATTTTCCCATCAAAGGTGACTGGATGCAAAGTGTGTTGAGTGATCTTCTTCCACTTCCCGTCGATTTGTTTGTTAATGCAATTTTTATAATTAAATATGTCTGTGTGTTGATTACAATGATAATGAATGCATTTTTTCGTTCCAACTGTTTATTTCTATGCAAAAGGGAAAGCCAATAATATTTCCAAACAACAACAAAAATCATCAAACCTTTGCAAATTTCCAAAATTGTTTAGATCAGCAAAAAATAAAAAAACTGAATTTTATTTACTCAGCAATGGCTTTACATATTCTGATGATTCTATTGATTTCGAATCAGTTTTTTGGATTATAAAAACCTCTTACCTTGAAGGTGAAAGGCACATTTCAACATTTGGAATCAACAGTTGAAGTTGTCCGGCAAATATTAGCGGAACTTGGAAACAACAAATCGAAAACAAAATGAATCCTTTAGTAATTTTGGGCTTTGTGGCCATGGTGGCTGTAGGATCGTTGGCATCGCCAACAAACCAGAACAGCATGAAGCCATCGCAATGGTTGAAACCCAGTGAGCTGGAGAGTACACCATCCCTGGATGAGTTGACCTTCGAGGAATTGGAGAAAATGCCATTGGAAAAAGGAGCCAAATTGATGCGCAAAATATGTAAGTCCTTTAAAAACCAATCTAAACAGTTCGAGAACTAAGTTTCAATGTTTTTCCCCAGATCACTTGGCCCAAATCGAAAACTCTGTCTCGCCCAATTTCGTGCCCAGCCCCAGCAATGTGCCCGTCTACATTTTCAACGGCAAGGGTGAAAAGGAGACTTGCAACTTGAACAACTACGTCGACATTGCCAAGAACAAGCCCAAATTTGGCGAACAAGAAGTCACCGTTTTCATTACTGGCCTGCCCCAGTCCTTGGATGATGTCAAGAAGGCCAACACCCGATTGATCCAAGCCTACATTCAACGCTACAGCCAAAAACCCACTCCACCCAGGGATGATGACAAATCGAAATGGGAAAATGAACAACCCGTTGGCGGCCATTTGGTTGTCATCGATTTGGGTCACACCATCACCGACATGGAACGTTATGCCAGTTTGGATGTCAAGGAGACCGGTAAAATGATTGGCAAGACCTTTGCCGAGCTGATGGATGAGTGCGATGTCGATGTTGAGGATATGCATGTTGTTGCCCAGGGCATTGCTGCCAATGTTGCCGGTTCGGCTGGCAAGGCCTTCAAGGACATTACCACCCACAAATTGGATCGCATCACCGCTTTGGACCCTGCCCGTCAAGTTGCCAAGAATCCCAAGGTGTTGTCCGGTTTAGCTCGTGGCTCCGCCAACTTTGTTGATGCCATTCACACTTCCGCTTTGGGTATGGGCACCACCCGTCGTGTTGGTGATGTTGATTTCTTCCCTCATGGCCCCTGTGAAGGTGTTCCCGGTACCCGCAACGTAATTGAAGCCCAGGCTCGTGCCACCCGTTTCTATGCCGAATCTGTACGTCCCGGTAACAGCCGTAATTTCCCAGCCCTTGAAGCCAGCTCCCTGAAGCAGTACCGCAACAAGGATAGCTATGGCAAACGTGCCTACATGGGTATTGCCACACGTCGTGACACCACCGGTGACTACATTTTGGAAGTCAATGAGCAGACTCCCTTTGGCAAGCGCTCAGCTACCCAGCAAAGATCTGTCCAATTTTTCAACAGTGAAAACTATTGAGGAATGATAGATGGTTTTACTTCCCTATTTACCCCCGGCATCTAATTTTGAACTGTGAACTGTTTATAGTTTATGATGGAACTTTTTTATATTTGGACCACACATCCCCACATTTTTTAGATTTTAGTTGAAACATAAAGAAAAAATAAAAAAGAATATTTGATATTAAAAAAATAAGTTTTAAAATTGTTTTTTTCTGAATTGGGTTAAAGTGAGCACTGGATAAATACAGCAGGGCCCCAATGATCGTTCTAAAACTGAAAATAAAATGAAAACTTTTATAAAGGAGAAAAACGGTATAAAGAAAATATTTTTGATTTCACATTTTCATAGAACAAGAATACAGACCCAGAAACGTGGTCCAGAATCGCTTCTCCTGGTCAAATTTCTAAAACTTAAAAAAAATCTTAAGCCTTCCTTCAATTTTGATATCTTAAATATAGATTCAGTGATTGTTGAGGAAAAAAATTAAATCAGGAAAATCCTATTTATGGGTGCTATTCCGAAACAAGGACCTGCTTTCAAACTTCCTGCAAAGAAGTGATCTACGCCTAAATAATCCACGTTCTATTGGAAGATATGACCCGAATAGAGGACGGAAATATTTCCTCTTCCATATTTTTACTAAATTTTCGTATTGAAATTCCTTGAAATCCTAGCATTTTAGGCATTTATTGTCTTCGGCAGTATGACAGATAACAAAAAGAGGAACCCACAAGCGAGTCACCAAAGGGGTATTTTTCGTAATTTTTTCAGAAAACTCCCTTTGAACTGGATCAGACATCGAAGGTCTAAATATTTCCTGAATGTCTGGAGTGTATGCAAAATACTCCTGCAAAATATCTTTTAGAGGGGTAAGGTAAAAAGTTATATATTTATGTTTTATATCCTGAGTAATATGGCTACAGATGGTGTGAAAATTGACAATATTGGATCACTCCATCAAGTACCTCCCTCACAAAGGATCAACATTTAGAATAATTATAATTCTTGTAAAATCTGAAATAAGAGTCCGATTGCTTTCAAATTTCACACATTCCAATATTTTTATTAACACAAGATCTGATGTAAAGGTAGGATATATCGGTCCACTCCTTCTGGTACCTCCTCCCACAACGGGTCAAAATCTTGAATAATTATATGTCTCATAAAATGTGAAACAGATTCTCTTCAAATTGATAGATTTCGGCCTACCCCTTCCCGTACCGCTCTCACCAAGGTTTACTGTTTGCAATACTTATACATCTCAGAATGTGCGAAACACCATATTACTCCTAAAAAATTGTTTATAGATGTCTGATTTTCTTCAAATTTTGCACATCCGCATATTTTTATCAGTATTAGATGATGTGGAAAGCCTTGGTCCAATATATCTGATACCTCACTCATATCTTAACATTTTGCAACGTTGAACTATATACATTAGAGTTAGTTCAGATGAGAAGTGGATAATATAGACCCGCTCCTTCTGTATTTCCTCCATAAAGGTCGGTATCATAATGTAAGTCAAACCATATTTAAATAAACTGACATAGGCTGAGAGTATACATCTTGACTACCAACAGAGACCTCAATATCGATTTTCGGGATTCCAGTTCTATATTTTCTACAATAGCAAATTTAGTACCATTTAGTACCTTTCCTACAATTATAGTACACATTTTCAAACCACTAACAAATGTCAAACACACATACCCTCAGTAATATACAAATCAAAATTCAGAATTTTATCTCTATGCCTTCATCCAATATGAAATATAGTACCATTCAGTATTTTTCGTACAATTATGGTACATATTTACGAAACCACCTCCATATGTCCAGACTGCACATAAATAGCGATCATAATATCAAATTTCAGATTTCAAGCGCTATCAGTTCACCCAATACCAAATTGTACCAAATATAGTACTATTTAGTACTTGTCGTGCACTTATTGTACGCACTTCCAAATCCACATCTTTATCACAGAAATACCGCCAACAGTGACTCCAATATAAAATTTCAAAAAGTTTAGAAGTATTTGAAACTTTTCGTAATCTTATAGTTCGAATTTCCCGTAAACTCTATCGTACATCTATCCTGCACTCCATCAGTGACTCCCTTTCCGAATTGCAGAATTCTAGCTCATTCCGTTTGTTCAATACCATTTTTAGTACTTTTCGTACGATTTTAGTATGCATCTAGCCTTATTACACGTCCATACAGCAATATTGGCCCTCTTGCAAAGCTTCAAGATTCTAGTTTTCAAAGGGACAGTTTTTTATACCCTCCACCATAGTATGGAGGGTATATTAAGTTTGTCATTCTGTTTGTAACACCTCGAAATATACATTTTGTCGATTTAGCGATGTCCGTCTGTGGAAATCACTCTAGCTTCCGAACGATTGATAAAATTGTACTCAAATGTATATATATGCAGGAATTTTGGTATTGAAAATGGGCCATGTAGGTCCACGTTTTGGTATAGCCTCCATATAACGGTACCTCCCGATATTCTGTATTTTGATGATTTTAGCGATAATATTCAATATTCATTCAGAATTCTTTCAAATTTGGTATTTGATGTTCGTAATGGGTGCTATAGCCTATGACAGGAGATTGTCTGTGCAGGACCACGTCTTCGTATAGCCTCCATATAACTGTACCTCCCTATATTCGGTATTTGTATGATTTTAGCGTCATTATTCACCTCAATTATTTCAAATTACGTATTTAGAGTTCGTAATGGGAACTACAGTCTGTGACAGAAAATTGTATATGCAGGTCCAGATTCTCGTATAGGCCCCATATATCAGTACCTCCCTATATCTGGTATTTTGACGGGATTACGTACAATACTTATCGAAATTGTTTGAGATGTCGTATTTGAAGTTCGTACTGCATGCTACAGCCTATGACACAAAATTTTCTATGCTGGTCCAGTTCTTCGTACAGCTCCGATATAACGGTACCTCCCTATATACGATATTTTGATGATTTTAGCAACATTATTCAACATTTATTTCAAGTTTCGAATTTGAATATGATAATGGCTAATGACAAACAATGCCTATGTATGCGAATGTTATCTTTTTCTAAAATTTCCAAATTAGTTCCAAATGGTGGAGGGTATTCAAAGTTCGGCCCGGCCGAACTTACACATTTTTACTTGTTTTCTCTATCCTATCATCCAATACGAAATATAGTACCATTCAGTATTTTTCGTACAGTTATAGTACACATTTCCGAAATAACCTCCATATGTCCATTTTGGAAGTATTTACACCTATCCTGCACTCCATCAGTGACTCTCATCCCGAATTGCAGAATTCTAGCTCATTCAAGATTCTAGTTTTCAGAGGGTTTCCTTAAATAGAACAGTTTTTTATACCCTCCACCAACTTTGTCATTCCGTTTGTAACTCCTCGAAATACTCATTTCAGACCCAACAAAGTATATATATTTTTGATCAGCGTAAAATTCTATGTCGATTTAGCGATATCCGTCTATCTGTCTGTTTGTTGTAATCACGATATCTTTCGAACGAATCGAGATAGAAGGCTAACATTTCGCAGACATGTTTATTTTGCCAGTAGCAGGTTAAGTTCGTAAATGGGTCATGTAGGTCCACGTTTTCATATAGCCCCATACAGCGGTACCTCCCGATATTCCGTATTTTGATGATTTTTGCGACATTTGGTATTTGAAGTTCGTAATGGATACTACAGCCTATGACAAAAAATTGTCGGTGCAGGTCCACTTCTTTGTATAATCCCCATATAACTGTACATCCCTATATTCGGTATTTTGATGATTTTAGCGACTTTATTTACCGGAAATATTTCAAATTTCGGGTGAAAAATCTGGGGTCCCGGGTCCTTACCCCAAGAAAAGAAAAGTTTCACGGGATCAAGTTAAAAATACCTACCTCTGGAAAAAAACTAAACTAGAGTTAAGCCGAGATATTTATTTTTACTGCTGCTCAGGCGGGCGATCAATTAAATCTGATAAACAATTAAAAACTGTAATTCGTTTTCAATGCCAACAATTTATTTATATATAAAAATACAAAACATAATTTCGAAATGTCCTATTTTTTCAACATTATCTCTTTGGATACGTCCGTTTTTGTTTCACCTTCCATCCAATTTAGTTTTTATTCGAAGACCAGTTGGAGGAATGTCTATGAGTGCTGTGGCACTCCTTATTATGTTTAGCAGGAGCTCTTTGGCCGAAGGGACGTTGTTCATTGACTTGCAGGATGAAATCACCCTTGGCCTTCTTGTCGACGGCGAGACCCATGTGAACGCGTTTGCCACAGCCATAGTTCTTATAACTCTCCACCGAACGATCTTCAACGGCGGGGAAGTTGTGTTCATGTCCTGGACGTACGGATTCGGCATAAAGATGGACAGCACGCATGGTGGCCTCAATAACATTTGTGGTACCGGGAACACCACGGCATGGACCGTTGGGGAAGAAATCAACATCACCAACACGGCGGGTGGTGCCCATGCTCCAGGCCGAAGTGTGGATGGCATCAACAAATTCAGCATCACCACGAGCCAGTCCGGTTAAACATTGAGAGTCCTCGGCATAGATTTTAGAGGGATCCAAGGCAGTGATACGGCTGAATTGTTCTCCGGTATTACGTTCAAATGCCTCGCCTGCGGCACCGGCCACATGGGCGGCAACGCTATGGGCCACAATGTGAACAACGTTGCTTGGGACTTGGCATTTTTCAATCAAATCGGCAATGCATTCGGCAATCTTTTCACCAGTCTCTTCGACATCTAACATGGCAAAGCGTTTGGAGTTGGACAATTGGTCACCCAAGTCAATGATCTGGAAGATAAGAAGAAGAAGAAGATAGAAAGAAAGAAAGAGGTGATTGGATTTTAGATGATTGGATGTTTGCCTACTTACCACCAAATTGCCGGTATTGGGATTTTGTTCCTCAGTCTTGGAGGCACGATGACGATAACGTTCAACATAAGCCTCAACCAGTTCCTTGTTGGCCTTGTGCACAGTCTCCGTTTGAGCGGGAATACCGGTAATGTAAATGGTAATCTCTTGTTTGCCAAAGTGGGACCATTTCTTGGCAGTTGAGGCCATTTTGTCCAATGTTGTGGTCTCCTGCTCACCATTGCTCTTGAAAAGTGTCACCTGAATGCTGCTGGGATTTGGGGTGTACGAGGGCTTCATGTCATAGTTGATGTGGGAAACATGGTCTAGAATATATGTAGATTTAAAAAAAAGGAAACGCCAATGGCATCCAAGTGGAATACTTACAAATTGTACGCAATGCCTCGGCACCTTCTTCCAACGACATATTCTCCAAACTTTCAACGGATAAGTCATCAACAGAGGGACATTCTGCCAATTTTTTGGCCGAGAACCACTGGCTTGGTTTTAGTTTTTGCGATTGGTGTTGGTGATTTTGATTGGCCTGGGCAGTGACTGCCAAAAGGCCCACCAAACACAATAGCTTGAAAGTATTCATTATTGTTTCTCGACTAGGTCCTTGTCCTCCTTGAGTTTGGAATATAGTGACGATCAGTGCTGTTACTGAACTGTGATTTCCTCAAGTCCACCAAAACATTTTATACCCAGTTCTACACAATTCTTTGGGGATTTTGCTGATCCTCAACAAATTTTTTTTTTTGATTGCCATTTGTAATGACGTCGAATTTGATTTCGATTATCGCTAAGAAAATAATTGTCGGCAAACCATCTTGAGCAAAAGTTTATTAACCCTTTGCATATTTTGATTTTGTAATCGATTTAGAACACACTTTTAGTTCTCAGGTCAATTGTAGATTTTGTTGAATATATTTTGCCATGTAATCATTACAAGGTGTTGAGGAAAATAGGTCATTGAGCCATTATCGCCAAATACGATTTGGCGCATGCAAAGTGGTGATATAGAATTGTAAGTGCATCAATTTGTCATACAATGTTGCTAGCCGGGAAAAATCGCAAAAGTGGTGAATTTAGGTTCCAAGGGATTGGAAACAAAAATGTGCCTTGAAAAACTCCAGATTTTACTTCATAGTATTCTCATACCAATCCAGAATCATGGAACAAAAAAAATTGTCAAAGTAACTATCAAACATTGTATTAGGTATCCAAATAGGTTTCTTCTCCTCGTTGTCTGCTTTGAGGGAATTGAGGGCATTCCTCATAATAAAATTAAATTTTTGCTCCAGTGAACATATGGTCATGTCCATAAAATTCCGTATCTATCCGTAACTTGCCTTTGATGACCAACCAAATTGCATAGAAGAAATCCGTTTTAATCGCTCCTTTCCTTTTTAAGCTGTTTAATAACAATTTTGTAGCATTTGATGTATGGATGGATGATGGTCAATTCAATGATTTATTATTCCCACACAGCAGCGTGAGAATATTGAATTTTTTTTTTTTCGATGGAAATTTTTTCATAATAACAAGAAAATTTGTTCAAATAATTATAGGAAAGATCGAGCAGGTTATGAAAGTAAATCTTAAGATAGAAACGCATGTATCGACGTTTTAAAAGTTTTCCTCGCAAAGTAACATAAATAAAGGGCTTGAAGTACACCCTACTCTACATTTTTGGATATTTTTGAATTAAGATTTAATGGAGTCCTTGTATTTTAGGTATATAGTGTCATCATCAATATTTTTGATAATAATACGAGGATTACTTTGGTTAAAAATTGTTACCCTCAAGCGGGTATTCAATGGTCCTGTTTGGTTCTTTTCCAAATTATGGCTTAAAATGCCTTTAAGCGTTACCAAAGCAAATCGAAAAATACAACAAAATTATTTGTCATAAAAATCTACTATTGATCCCAGAATATGTCAAAAGTCTAAATCTTACCAAAGTCAACAAAAATATATTTTATAAACTACCTTCAAACGGGATATAGGTACCAGGATATAGGTACTAATAAAACTTACCTAAACGCCAGCAATTCATAAATATAAATAATTCTCCTCCAAAACATTATTTTAGAAGGATGTCGTTTCGATTTTGCAAAAAAAAAAAAGATAATTTTTTTTTTTGAAAGAAATATCAATAGAAGAAATATTCTAGACTAGCAAGTGCCCGAAACATCGTCAGCGAAAAGTCCACTTTAAAATTTAAGATTCTTTCCCACACTTTGTGTCAGTCCTTTTTATACCCTACAACACTATGTTTGGGGGTGTTATAAGTTTGATTGGGACAAAAATTATTTAATACCTCGAAATATTGGTTTCCCACATAGGAAAGTATATATGGATCTTCCTATATCGCCGAGCTGAGTCGATCTAGATATGTATGTCCGTCCGTCTGTCCATGTTAATTTGTAATCACTTTACAGGTCGCAATTATGGCCCGATCTTCACGAAATTTAGAATGGAGGTGGGGTAGGGCCAGAATAGAACCCTATTGCTTTTGGAGATGATCGCATAATATTTAGAGGTTGAAATGGACCAAAATTAAAAATTTTATGATTTTGCAGCTACTCGGATGTTAGCATAGCATAGGGCTAGAGCTTAGGGCTGGGCAGAAGGCTTCCAATTTTGATGGTCATCGGGTAATGTATAGTGGGTGAAATAGACCATAACATTTGTGTTAAATAAAAGTCAAATTTTCTATTAAACCGCGAATATTTTTAATCCCGGCGAAATCACGAATAGACGAACAGGTCAAATCTGACAGTTACGTAGATGCCGATAGTAAATATATCGAATGTACTATATACGAAATATATACAATGTATGTATACAAAGGAAGGGGATGTTAGCTAGAATGCTTACATCTCAAGAATGGCTAGACCGATTTCGAAAATTTTTGTCAATTCAGAATGCCCTCTTAACATAAAAGTATAAAATATAAAAAAATCGCATAAAAAGATGCCTATAATGATTTTATTATAGACTTTGTAGTATTTTGTGACATATTTTTATTTTTTCATATTTTTTATCGCATGCGATTTTTTCAATTTGACTTATAATATTGAATTGTACATTTTGTAATATTTTTTTCATTTTACAACACAGGTTGGGGTTATTATATACAGATTGCAATTATCCTCACGAAAAAGGGTAGGGTTAGGTTCAGAAGGGCTAGGCCTATTGTTTTCCAAGATGTCCGCGATTTATTTAGGGGTTGAAAAGGACCAACAACTAAAAATGTGTCTGATTTTTCAGCCTTTATAAAGTTAACAAATTGAATCCAAAGGAAATCTCGCATGAAGTTATTTTGTGAGTAAAAATACCAACATTAATTACAGGCGATATCCGAAATACACAAAAGGTGAACTTCTGGCTTTTTTAGGCTGATTTCGTTGATAAATAAAGCCAAATATCGTAGACAAGCAAATCATATAGATGAGTTTAAATTTGGTGATACAGAGGGGCCTCTTGCTTTTGGCGTTAATCGCAAAATATTTAGGGGTTCAAATGAACCAAAAACAGAAAAAAATTCCTGCTCACACAATTGAAGAGAGTTAGCATTTTGGATAACCATTGTGAAATGGACCACAACAACTAACAGCACGATGGAGTGCGTAAATATTGGACAAATGTCCCTGGTCAAAACGCTAAGGGTAATATCTGGGCAGTGCTCCATGACATAATTTCAAAAGCGAAATATTCCAAAATGGATTCGGACATAAGGGGGCTTCTACCATATTGTAGTGTTGTAGGGTATCACATGGTCGGCCCCGCACGACTATAGCCTTTGCTAACTTGTTAGTACTCAAAATGACAATTTGTTCATTTTGACACATTTTTTCAATAAAACCTTTATACATCGTACTAATTTTTCAAACTCTCCTGGTTTTATATATTATTCAAGTTTTTCCTCTTTCAGAAATAATAATAGGAAAATATTATTTACCTTTTACACCAAAAAGTTTTCAAAATCGTTCATTTTGAAGTTTATTAAAAAGAAATTGGACAATGGATCCAAATTCAATTTTTCTTGACATTTTTGGGGTTATAGCATGCTTTTTCATTGAGTTTTTTAAAGATGAAAGATAGTATACTTTAAAATGGCCATAACTCCTTAAATATTGACATTTCGGGGTTTTTAGCATGCTTTTTCATTGAGGTTTTTAAGGATGAAAGATAGTATACTTTAAAATGGTCATAACTCCTTAAATATTGACATTTTGGGTTTTTAGCATGCTTTTTTATTGAGTTTGTTTTAGAACAGTCAGAGGTCCCTAAATATTGACATTTTTGGGGTTATAGCATGCTTTTTCATTGAGTTCTTTAAAGATGAAAGATAGTATACTTTAAAATGGCCATAACTCCTTAAATATTGACATTTCGGGGTTTTTAGCATTATTTTTCATTGAGTTTACTTTAGAACAGTCAGAGGTCCCTAAATATTGACATTTTTGGGGTTATAGCATGCTTTTTCATTGAGTTTTTTAAAGATGAAAGATAGTATACTTTAAAATGGCCATAACTCCTTTAATATTGACATTTCGGGGTTTTTAGCATGCTTTTTCATTGAGTTTGTTTTAGAACAGTCAGAGGTCCCTAAATATTGACATTTTAAACGACTCCATATGTAAACACTAGAAACTAACAGTGATCCCAATATCAAATTTCACCCAGTACCAAATTTAGTACGCATGCCCAAAACAATCTACATCTCTCCATCCTAGACACCAACATTGATTCAAATTTAGATACATCTAGCAATTTTCGTATAACTGTAGTACTCATTTACAGTTTCATCTCTATTTCCAAATTTCAGATTTCAACCAGTATCCGATCACGCAATATCAAATTTAATTTTTATAATAAATGTCAAGATTTTAGCTGTATCCGTTCATAAAAAAAAAATATGAATTAGTCAGTCAGTCATTATACCCTCAATCATCATTTCATTATCATTTGATACGGCCAAAACGGGCCTCATCGAAATAACGGGCTTAGGCCCTACGTCCCTCTGGACCAAATCCGTTTCAGGACATTTGGAGTCGATCTAGCGATACCCGTCCGTCCGTCCGTCTGACTGCTGGCTGGTGCTCACGATAACTCTCGAAGGGAGTATCCGATTTGATCCAAATTTGGTACATCGTAATATCCATCAAGTACCTCCCCCACAAAGGATCAAATTTTTGAATAAATAAAGCTTTTATAAAAGCTTTTAAAAAACACCCAAATTCTGGTGTGAAGATGGAATGTATCAGTTCACTCCTTCTTGTACCTACCCCACAGAGGGTAAAAATTTTGGATATTCATGATGCTCATAAAACACGAAATCCACATTCGATTCCATTCAGACTTGGTACATCTCAATATTTCCATTAACACAAGATCTGTTATAAAGATGGAAGAGATCGGACCATTCCTTTTGGTACCTTCCCCACAAAGGATCAAAGTTTTGAATAACCAAAACGATCATAAAATCCGAAAAGAGCACCCGATTCTCTTTAAATTACACACACATCACAATATTTTTATTAATCCAATGTCTGGTGTGAAGATGGAATGTATCGGTTCACTCCTTCTGATACCTCCCTCACAAAGGTTCAAAATTTTGAATACCCGTGAAGCTCATAGAACGCGAAATTAACAGCCGATTCCATTCAGACTCAGTACATCTCAATATTTCCATCAACACAAGATATGGTACAGATCGGACTGTTTCTTATGGATAAATCTGTCATAATTGCGAAACAAGTCGGCGATTCTATACATCTTGCTATATCTAAATATTTACCTTTAGCCAGAAATCTGATATGAATATGTAATTAATCGGAATTTATAATTTCGTATAAAATTGAATATAAATGTTCGATTTTCTTTTAATTTTGCACGTATCAATATTTTTATCCGCACTTTTGTCTTTAAAAGGTCTACCATTTTTGGTCAAAAGTCCTTGAAAAATTATTTTTGAAAACTCCAAAATTATTCGGTCCCTCAGGTTTATAAATAGAATGTTGGCAAGATTCCAATTTGGTTTGAAATGGGTAAAAAAAGTTTGCCTTGGGCGAACTTTTAATATTGCTTTATATTTTTTTAATCTTCTTTGAAGACGCCTTCTGGTTTGAATTTGGATAGGAATATGTTTTAATTCTTTTTAAGAATTCAATTTGGAATACGAAGACTGGAACATTTTATTTCCCTTAGATCGTCCATTGAACATCTATTAGTCGTTTTTCTCTTTTTCTTTCTCTGTGCGACTTTTCTTTATTTTGGTCATCGAGAAAGTTCAAATTCGTAAAAACATTTGTTAATTCTAAAACTTTCCTGTTGTTTAATATTAACACATTCTATAAATCAATAAAAATAGCTATTGACGTTGCAGCAGCAAAAATTGATAAACCGCAATAATCGCGTATTCCACCTTTTTGTGTTAATTCAGCATCAGCAAAACTATTTTTTTTTTGCTGACAATCCAATTCAGTTACAATTCAATTTTTGAATTTCGTATTGCGCGTTTTGTGTATAAAAACCCTTCGCCGCGATGGGATAGAGCACAGTTAACGTTTCGAACGGGCAAACGTTAAGGGTAGTTGACGAACTATTATCATCGATATACTGACATGAATCCATTGGGAGTTGTGTGTGTTGTGGCCTGTTTAATGGCCGGTGCTTTGGCCACACCATCATCGTCGCGCCAAAACAGTTTGAAACCAGCACAATGGTTGAAACCCAGCGAATTGGAATCGACACCATCTCTGGATGAATTGAGTCTGGAGCAGTTGGAGAATATGCCCTTGGAGAAGGGAGCCAAACTGATGCGCAAATTGTGTAAGTAGCAAGGGATAGGAAAATAAAAAAGCACGACATTTCAACTATTTGTTTTAAATTCCAGACCACTTGTCCCAAATCAACCATGGTGTCCAACCCGCCTTTGTGCCCAGCCCCAGCAACATCCCGGTCTACATTTTTGGCAGCCATGGCGAAAAGGAAACCAGCAATTTGAAGGACTATGTTCAAACTGCCAAGGATATGCCCCGTTTTGGCCAACAAGAAGTGACAGTGTTCGTTACTGGTCTCCCGGAAAGTTTGGAAAAGGCCAAGAAGACCAACACCAAATTCATCCAGGCCTATGTGCAACGCAACAGCCAGAAACCCCAATCCCCTGAAGGCGAAAACAATTCCAATTGGGAAAGCAACAAACCAATTGGTGGCCATTTGGTTGTCATCGATTTGGGTCACACCATCACCAATGTTCAACGTTATGCTGCCCTGGATGTTGATGAGACCGGTAAAATGTTGGCCAAATCCTTGGTTGAATTGACCAATGAATGTGTACCCTTGGAAAACATCCATGTCATTGGACAAGGTGTTGCTGCCAACGCTTGCGGTGTTGCCGGTAAGGTATTCAAGGCTTTGACCACCCATAAATTGGATCGCATCACTGCCTTGGACCCTGCCAGCCAAATGGCCAAGGATCCCAAGGTTTTGACTGGCTTGGCTCGTGGTGATGCCAAATTCGTTGATGCCATCCACACCTCGGCCTTGGCTTTGGGTACAACCAGACGTGTCGGTGATGTTGATTTCTTCCCCAATGGTCCATCGACTGGCTGTCCTGGTGCCCACAATGTCTTCGATGCTCAATTGCAGGCTACCCGTTACTACACCGAAACTGTCTTCCCCGGTAACGAACGTAACTTCCCCGCTGTCAAGGCCAATTGCTTCAAGGAGTACAAGAACAAGCAGGGATATGGCAAACGTGCTTACATGGGTATCAACACTGCTCGCGATGTCTCCGGTGATTATATGTTGGAAGTCAACGACCAAAGTCCCTATGGCCAGAGAACACCAGCCAACCAACAAAAATCTCCACATGGCGCCCACAACAGAAACTATGATTACTAGAATGTTTTGATGATGATCGTGGATTAAGCCTTTTGGCGTGTATGTATTAAGGCCGAAGACTTTATCCTCTCTGGAATGAAAATCATTACAAATATTTGAAAAAATTACCGAATTTTTTAGTTAGATACAAAAAAAGAAAATAATCTGAACAATTTTTTATAAAACAATAAACGAGCATATTTTCTCAAAGATGAGAAAAAGAAAAATAAATAATTGTGGATTTTATATTTTATACCCTCAGCCATATGGCTAGAGAGGGTATATATCATTCGATACAGCCAAAACGTGCCCCGTCGAAGTAATGATTTTGGACCCTAGGTCTCTTTGGATCAAATCTGTTTTAGGACATTTGGTGTCGATCAAGCGATATCCATCCGTCCGCCTGTCTGGCTGGTGCGCACGATAACTCCGAACTGAAGGGAGTATCCGATGTGATCCAAACACGGTACATCTTAATTTATTGTCAAACTTAGATCTAGTTCGGAGATGGGCAGGCAATATCGGTTCACTTCATTTCCAACGAAAATTATTTACTGCACAGAAATATTTTGCAGTAAATCATAATACTATTTTGCTCCAACTCTGCAAATCTAAGTATTTGTATCAATGCTAGATAAGGTGCGAAAATGCACACTCTCCATCAAGTACCTCCCCACAAAGGGTCAACATTTTGAATAATTATAACTTTTATAAAATGTGATTTAAGTGTCTGATTGTCTTCAAATTACACACATCACAATATTTTATTAACCCAAGATCTGGTGTTAAGATGGAATATATGGGTTCTCTATTTCTGGTACCTCCCCAACAAAGGGTCAACATTTTAAATAGCCGCGAAAATCGCGAAATTAACATTCGATTCCATTCAGACTTGGTAGATCTTAATATTTCTATCAACAGAAGATCTGTTTCAAAGATGGTAGAGATCGGATAATTCCTTCTGGCACATCCCCTACATAGGGTTCAAGATTTCGAAAAACAAAACACGGAAAGAAATTGAAATAAACATCCAACTCTGTTGTGTCTGTCTGTTGTGAAGATGGTATATATCTGCAAACCCCTTCTGGTACCTCACCTAAAAAGGGTTACAATTTTCAGTACTTTTATCTGTCATAACTTGTGAAGCAAAGGTACTTCAAAGCTGTATTTGATATATTTCCCCGCATATCGTTGTTACTGAGTGCATATTACGACTGTGGAGAAAAATTTAACAAATCGGATGAACAATATATATGATAGCTATAGCTATGCGGGGTGAGATCAAAAAACTGCAACCAACTTGAGACTGCTGTCATTTCTAAACCACTCGTACGACAGTTGTTAAAATTATTCCAGTGACAGCTCATTATATTCTTTACAAGCGTACAAAATCATTTTGGTGAGAATTTCCAGAAAAAAAGTTATTCGTGATGGAATTCAAGCGTGATAGTTGATTTCTTTATATTTGGCTGTAAAACTACAAGCGGCTATCGTTAGAGCACTCCAGCATTTAAATGTGAATAAATCTATTGTGTCTCGTACCATGTTCGTTACCGTGGTACTGGTAGCGTAGCCCGACGTCAAAGAAGTGGACGGAAGAAAACAGCAACATCAGCACAAATGGTTCGAAAAATAAAGAAGCGAGTTGATCGAAATCTGCGTCTCAGTGGACGAAAAATGACTCGTGAGCTGAACATATCGCAATATCCCATTCGGCAAATATTGAAAAACGAGCTCGGGGTAAAGCCATTGAAATTCCAAAAAGTGCAAGAACTTACACCGCAACAGAAAGAAAATAGACTCAAAAGAGCTAAAGCGTTGCTTTTCTTGGCCGAAAGTGGTGAACTACCGAATTTGGTTTTCTCCGATGAGAAAACATTCGTTTGGATATTCCAACAGGACTTAGCACCATCGCACTCAGCACATGCCATCCAAGAATAGTTCCTCGCTTCATTTCCAGCGCACAATGACCACCAAAATCTCCGGATACCAATCCGTTGGACTATTGTGTCTGGAGTAATTTGGAAAGCAAGGTTGGCACTAAAAAATTCCAAAGATCACCTCAAGCAATCGCTTCGCCGGGAATGGGCCAAAATACCACAGAACAACATTCGGGCAGCATGTGACGGTATCATTGGCCGTTTAAAGGCCATAATTCGTGCCAAGGGTGACCAATTCGAAGAAATCTAAACTTATTCCAAAATTTGATGCTATTTCCGATTTTTTTTTCTTTCATTCAATAAAATTTAAAAAAAAAGTGTAAAAATTATGGCGTTTGATTTTGTTGCAGTTTTTTATCTCACCCTGTATTTATTTAGGTCCGATATGAAATTGACAATATTGGTCCATTCCTTCGGAACCTACTCCATAAAAGTTCAACAATTTGAATAATCGTAACAGAGATAAAAATATATTTTAATAATCGAACATTGGCTGAGGGTATGCATCTTTCGGCAAATCCGACTGATACTTTTGAACTTGTTAAATCAGTTTTTAATATTGGCTGAGGCTGTGATGACAGTCAGATAATTTTGTCTTGAGGAGGGTACTTCTGGATGACTGCTTTTCTATTTTATGTCAAATGAGTGCATGTACCATGCAGCTTCAAGAACACTCCCAATTGCTAACATTTGATTAGCTAAGACCACTCTGCTTACAAAATCCACCGGAAAGAGGACAATTTTGTTAACACTTCTTCAAATACTCTTTTTCGAAACAATAATAATAAAAAAATGCATAACACAATTTCAGACCAACTGGTGATAATTTAAGAATTATATTTTATTGTTTTTTTGTTTATTTTTAATTTTCTGTTTCGGTTGCACAACATTTGTGGCTTAACGAATTGTTTCTGGCAAAAAACTATAAATATTGGCAATAATAATAATAATAATAAAAACAAAATAATTTATCTTTTTCTTCTTAAATAGAGTTATAGGAAATATTTAAAAAATAAATATTTCACTTAGCAAATATTTAACACAAAAACAAAAACGTTTGTTATTCTAAGTTTAGTATCTAGATTTTCATTAAAAAACGGAAACAAAAAACACATAGAGTATAGAAAACAAAAAATTATAGACAGAAGAGGTTTAACTTAAACGAATATCTTTTTTGTTATTGTTATTCATTTGTTACTACTTAAATATTAAGACAAATTCTGGCTTAGATGTGTGTAAGTGTGTTTGTGTGTGTGTGGTAAAAAGATAGGCTCTAGGAGCTTAACTCATGGCAAAATACATGAGGTATAGAGTTTAAAGATTACAATAATTATTTTTTTATGCACTTATCAATTTATTTTATTTTTTAAATAAAATCTTTTTCTTTGCCAAAAAGAATCTCATGAGTTGTGTGTGTTTGAAAATTTCCGGTTTTTTTTTTTTATTATTTTTTGCTAATTTTATATTGGTTTTGTTGTGGTATTTGTATTATTATATTGTATATTGTTTGTATATATGGAGGATTTATTTTTAGACATTCCTATAAGTATTGCATTTTGAAAATGTGTGTTTTCAAAATCGTTTGTGGAAAATTTTATTTTAGGGGAGAGAGGATTTACTACCAGGAGGATTGTGGGGTTTTGAGCTACTGCATCAATGATGGTCTGATGGAAAATTTCAAGTACATTTTAATATCTTTAATTTTATTGTAGACACAATTGTTAGCTTTTTTTCAAATTTTGACTTGTTAAAGAAGTGAAAAAGACAATACTTCGTTGATTTTGGGGTCTGAGAGCAGGGAAATGATTTTTTTTTATAAAAAAAAAAATAATAATTTTCTTTAAGAACATCTACAGTTCTTCTCGAAAAAATCCACAGATTTACTTGAGAAAATATGCAAATCATTGATTTACAAATCTTGGATCGACACGACTAAAAACTGTTAAGTTCGTCAGAATTCCAACCACATTTAGGAAGAAATTTGTAAAATTTCAAGGTCGCTAAATTAAAATACTGAATATCGGCTGATACAGTTATATGAAACCTGAAACTGTAGAGCCAATTATCGACTAGATATGGCGGTTCTTATTGCCAACACAAATACACCAGTTTTGCTGTCAAATGCAATACCTGCTTGGGTGTTAAAGACAAGGCCATCCGAATCACCATCTTGTGGATAGGCAACCTCCGCCCAGGCACGTAAGGAAATACCTTTATGATCTAGAAAGAGAGGTGTAGAGGTATAAGGGAGAGCCTCTAGATCAATAGGCCTATCAAGCGGGACTGAATAGTATTCATTCGAACGCGGTCGCAGAAGTCATTAAAGGGTATAGAGTGATTACTGTACTAGGAGACCATCCCCTTGCCGTCGCAGCTGAGGAACGAGAGCTGCTCCGACCAACCCGAGTAGTTTTGGCTCAATTACGATCCGGATGGTTGCACCTAAATTCCTACTGAGCCCGGATTAACAGCGATGTGCAGAACATCCAGCTTGTGGCACAGGCCCACATGACACGCCGCACCTATTTTGCTGTCCAGCCAAGCCCACTCACCTAACTCCAGTCTCGTTATGGACACAACCCATACAGGTTGCATCGTTTTTGAGACTGGACTTAGAGGCAGAGCCAGATTGAATGGAGTCAGATAATGGAAACAGAACGAGCACAGCTGTATGAGCTGCTACAACAACCAGTTTTGATATAATTCCGTTGGAAAATGTGCATTAAATCGACAAAACAACGAATATCAGAAGGTAACATTATATAGGGGATATACAAAGATGTTGTCCTGTGTAGGTTATTTTATGTCAAAACAAGTGGTACCTCACCATTTGGAACTCCAGCCCTAATTTGAAACAATTCCGTTTAAAATTTCTAGATATAGGCTTTGAAAAATGTCGGGAGATATCGCGATAGGAGGCAGTACTAACTTCAAACATCAAATTTGAAAAAATACCGGCGAAAAGTGTGACACAAATCATGAAAATATCAAATATCGGGATAGAGGCTATACAAAAACGTTGAGCTGTATAGCCAATTATCGGCTAGAGAAAGCGGCAACTATTGCGAACTTCAAACAAGAGGAAATGTGGATGAAATCGACAAAACAAAAACTGAATATCGGGGAAATTTGAAATAATTCTCGTGTTTTAAATCATCAGAGGATGTATAGAATTATATAATGAGATTTGCTGGTTTGTTACCCCGTAAGAGATCTTTAAATCGCAGCTTAGGCAATAGGTGGGTCTTCCAATAAAAGATCTAGATACTAGAGTGCCTTGGCAAATTAATAGATCTTCTTGGGAAGTTTTTTGGACCTTCCCATAGAGAATATGTAGATATTCTAGTTGAAGATATATAGAGGTCCTCTTTGAAGATCTATAGATATATAGATCTGTATATCTTTTTACCGAAGATAAAAGAGCGAAGATAATATGAAACCATAAATCTTTCGAGAACATCTACATATCTTCAAGTAGAATATGTATGTGTTTTCAATAAAAAAAAATATCTTGAAAACTTCTAAGAGAAAACCTCTTAATCTGCCAAGACACTATGGGAAAAGATATTTTATTAAAATACAAACATATCGCCTAAGCGGTGATCTGGAGACCTACAGATGTTCTTTAAGAAAAGATCGCAGATCCCAAAAAATCTACAGATTTACTCTTTAATATGGTCCTCAACATTTACTGTTAGAAAGGAAAGTTAACTGCCGAGGCTTAAGCCAAAGTAGTTTTAGCACAATTAGGCATGGGTTATTATTTCAAATGGCTAGTTAATCTTAATTTAAATTTCATAAGACACGATTTTTTATTATTATTTTTTTTTTTAATAATCGTGTCAGGGTGATTAGTAGAAAATTTGTAGGTCCTATAGAAAAAGATCAAAAAATCTTCCAGGACAAAAAATCTTTATTTTGGGATTTTCACATCGTCCTCTTCATCCATTGCTCCCGTAGAGATTTATCTGCCATAAATTTAACATAAATTCAGATAAAAAAATTGCAGCGGCCTTTGCGGCACTTTTGCTCTTTTTTTTTTTTTTTTTTTTTTTGAGCGGGTCCGACCTTCGGCCAATTTTGTGTTTTTATTTATTGTTTTGAAAAATAAAAAAAAATTGAAAGAAGCTCCTTTTTGGAGGCACTAATGTAGGGAAATTGAAATATTAAACAGTTTGGATGAATTTCATACTTTTTTTTCGCGAATTTTATTCCCTCTTGTTGCATCTTATGTTGATCAATTCTGAAAGAAAGCGGACACAGCCTTGGGTCGACTTCGCCATAAATATATAGTAATACTATTGAATAGGGTTTGCATCGTTGATAACTAATGTGACGTAAAGCCCTGATGGCAAATCAATTCAAAGACGAAATGGTGTCACATCGAAGTAGATGATCATAGGAAATCTCTACCGGATATTCAGAATATTCAACCAGACACGAAACCATAATATTAAACCTATAGAGAGAATGGTTTTGTAGATCAAACCTTAAATTCAGATCTGTGCCAAATACCCGTAATTTAGAACATTTCCGTCCAGTTCAGATGAGGGTATGTGAAATTCGATTGATATCATCGTTGGCCCAAAACCAGTGCATCTAATCCTAGGCAAGGACAGTCGTAATGATATGGTTGTCTCTCCGACAAGGAACTTATGACTTATAACTTCCACCGCAAGAAAAATATATACTTATTTTTTTTTTTATTTCTCGCAGTTCTATAAGCTCATGCCAATATAAGCTCACTATTACCGGGTGCTTGACCCATAGATAGGCAGGAGTTTAGATGGGCTCCGCTCCTAACCAAGGAGGCCACTGCGTTCAAAAAACGTGCGAGCGAATGGTACTCACTTTTGTAGGGACCTTGGTAGACGCATTGTATTCACCTGGTGCTAAGACTGCATGGGGGATAGATCGCAAGGTAGGTGCTCACATAAAACCACACATAGGTATAAGCTCACTATTAAGTATTTGGAGGTTTAGATTTGAATGCAACACAAACAGTTTTTAATATCAGTCCACGTTTTGTCGATTTTACATTTTAATTTTTCACCACTTGGGTAAATAAAAATAATTATCAAATATAACACTTTGAAACATAATTTAATATCTTCAAATTGTTGTTGAAAATTTCATTTTTTTGACTGGTATAAAACATTTTCAACATTATTTTTACAGACCATCTTTGATTCTACTACACAACAACAACATTTATTTACTTGACTTGTTTTTTTGGTTTTCTTTTTGTTAAAAAATACAAAATTTGTAACACGCACACAATATATGTTTGTTACATACAACACAGACAGTCAGGCTGACTGACATACAGACAGACAGACATACACACATGCGGACACTTAATCTTCTCTTCATTTTCAATTACCATTCCTTTGATCCATTAAGGATATTCTTGCTCACAAGTAGTTACTCTTATCAATTCCCATATATTCTAAATTGCTTGAAGACTGTTGTTGTTGCTGCTGCTGGAGCTGCCAGACATTTTCTGTGCAGGAAGAGGAGGAGGGAGTATTGTGGAAAGATGACTGTTTGTCATGGGATGTGGTAGAGATTTTCCCACCATCACCACTAACACCATTGTTTCCAACGACGCCGCCGCTGCAGCCGCCGACACCACCACCACCACCTGCTCCTACAGCAAGGCCACCATTAGCCGAAACACCACCTACACCGGTCGCCGATGCATTGCCCTCCTCACCATTCTGATGGCCAATGTTATCGATAATAATTGATGCCGATGCTGAGGCGCTTGGATTCGAGGACACGGGTGACTTTTCATCACACACACTATTAGCACCACTACTACTGCTGATCACACCACTCTGACTGCTGGGTGGCTTGGGCAGACGTCTCCTTAGCCACGGATGTTTCAGGGCCTCAGCCGGTATTAGACGTTTCTCGGGATCCCATTCCAGGCAACCTCGTATGAAATTCAAAAACAATGCATCCTTACAACCGTCCAAGGCCCGTGAAAGACTTTTTGATCCCGGTGGCCCCCGTATCTTGCCGTGGCGTGATTGGCCACCCTTGAGCACAACCATGCCATCGGCCAGATTACGGACCGTACAATATCGTGGATAACCTTCAGGATTGAAAAAGACTTTGCTGCGTCGTGAGTTGCGCAACAGGTCTTTGGGTGGCATACCCAAAACCTCAATAATGCATGCCAATTGATCGGATTCATTTTCTCCCGGAAACAGGGCATGGCCGGTTAAGAGTTCTGCCAAAATACAACCCAAAGACCACATATCAATGGCACGACCATACTGGGTGCCCAATATCACTTCAGGGGCACGATAAAACCTCGACTGAATGTAGCTATAGACCCGTTCGCGTTGGAAGCAAGAGGACCCGAAATCGATGACCTTTATGCCGGAACGACCCTGTTGCTTGAGTAGAACATTTTCCGGTTTCATATCGCAATGGATTATTTCATTTTTATACAGTGCATCCAGACACTGCAGCAGCGAGTGGGCGAATTTCCGTATCAACTGCAGCGAAAAACCCTTGAAGCCATTCTTTTTGATCAGCTCATAGAGATTGATGTTGAGCAGCTCGAATGTGATGCACATGTGATTGCGAAACGTAAAATAGTCATACATATGGATAATGTTCATGGTATTGTATTTATCCTGGCGACGCAGATGGTGCAGTATGCGTATCTCCTCTTGGGCCTGGCGATAAAATCTCACCTCGTTGCGCACAATTTTTAGGGCCACATGTTCGTGGGTCTTGTGGTCATAGGCCTTAATGACCTGGCCGAAACTTCCTTTGCCAATGATTTTCAACATTTCATAACGATAGGCAACATGATCGTGCGGCACATGTATGTAGGCACCTTGTTCGTTATCATAGTCCGAGTTGTTGGGCCCCACAATGCCGGGTCGCTTTTTGGCATTCGCCCCAATGAAATAGATTTGATTATAGCTTAAGATTTCGGTGCGTTCGTAGGGTGTCAGCTTATGCATATAGAGTATCATTACCTGTTGCGGTGAGACCACTAAGGGTTTGGGTTTTTCGGTCATGGTGGCCTTCTGTTGTCCCGACATTATTATCTGTTCGTGAAATGTAAAACAGCTTTCGTTTTGATTGTTACTTGGTGTGGTGGTCGTGGTTGTGGTGGTGTTGCTGCTGCTGCTACCGACGCCGCCGCCGCCGATGGTGTTAGTGTTGGGTGATAGTTGTTGTTGTACTAAGGCCGTTGTTGTGGTGTTACCATTATTGCTGGCTAATGCAATTATTGTGGCTGTTGCTGATGTTGTATCGGCATCTGGATTATTGCTTAAATATTGCACACTTTTGGAAACAGCCGCCTTGTGCTGACTGCTGGGTGGCTCTCCCACAATACAACTTGTTGTTTCGGTTAGACTATTCGAATGTTTGTAACGATTTGTGGCCGACGAGGCAGGTGTTGATCTAATTGCCAATGAATTCATGGGTATGGAATCGATTAGTTGTTGTACCGTTGTCGATGATCCCGCACTGCCGCCATTGGTCGACAGGGATTTGTGTAAGCGTTGTGGCGATGCGGTACAGCTGTCCTTGCCACTACTCAGTGAGAGGTACGGTTTCGATCTGGAGCTATGCTGCTGATGTCCTAATCCTCCTCCCACATCACTTAGTTGCGACGATGCCAGCTGATGATATTGCTGATGTTGTTGCACCTGAGACTGAGTTTTACTTCTCAAATCGTTGTTACAATAATAATTCACCTGACTATTGTTTAAGGCTGCATTCGTGTTGGCGTCGTATACCAATGAGGTGGACGATGCGGCCGTTGTTAGATGATATGCTGCTGCTGCTGGTGTTCCATTCGATCCTATGCCCATTAACTTATTGCTACAACTTTTGCTACGCATTGATGTATAAAGATTTTGGGGATTATCTACGACAACGGCGCCAGCGGCGGAGGCAGTACATGTTGATACATCCTTATAAATACTATTGGCCGAGAGTGGTAACAGTTCTTCGGCCTGGGCGGCTGCGGCAGCAACACACGAGCTGCTGCTATTTATTGAGCTATTATTAAAAGCTGTAGCATAATCGATGGGCGATAATGTGGCTAGAACAATGTTATTTTGATTGGAATTGTTAGCTGCTGATGAGGCATTCGCCACCGACGTTGGAGGACAGGAATTTGTGGTGCTGCTGCTGGTTGTGATATTGCCTAAATTACAATCGGCCAAAAGGCTATTTCTGCGCATAGACGTTGACAAACGATGCAAAGACGATGGCTGAGTATTGTTACTGCTGACGCCGCCAGCCAGAAGTTGATGACTTGTGGCCTGTTGCTGGTGCTGCTGGTGGTGTTGTTGTTGCTGTTGAGTTAACTGTTGAGTCTGAGAGCCCACCATAGTTGCGTGCAAATCAGTCCTGTTTTTCGTGTGTGTTCTTCTTTTTTTTTGCTGCTGCTTTTCGTTTGAGATCTAAGTGGGCTGTTTTTCTTTGCTCTTTTTTGATTTAATGCAGAAATATGGCAGTGAATGATTACTACATATGATGAGTATAAGGAGCAAGAGTTGATGGTGGTGGGGTGGTCTGAACTTTTAGGCTACTACTATAAGGTCACGAACAGTGTTTAAAAATAAATGATGGGGGAGGGAAGAGGTTAACTTATGTGCGTGAATTGTACTCAAAAGGATTTGCGTGTTTATGGGGTGTTCCTATAACAACTTTGTATTCGTATTCTAAGAAGTTGGGAAGGGGGGCAGGGCGGCAAACAGGGGACTGCTATAATAATACTGCTGCTGTTGTTAGTATTTTAAAAATAGTTGTTCTCTGACTAAACAAATTATTGCAATAATCTCCAAAGCAAAAAAAAAAAACAACGTTGAGGGAAGCCGTTACAACGAAGCAAAATGTTCTTCTTTCTTTTTTAATCGTTAACTAATTCTAAAATAGGCAAGTTTGTTTGGTTTTCTTTTCCTAAATTTCTTATTGTATGAATGGCGAGGTGTGTGTGTGTGTGCTGATGTGTGGTGGTGTTAAGCTATTTATTTGGTAGTTTGGTTTTTGTTACAACTCAATGAGATCCAAATTATAATTGATGAGGAAATTAGCTTATTTTGTATATCTAAAAAGTGAGTTTAGTTTAAATGCTTTCTTGTTTTTAAACTATTCTTTCAATTCTTCCACAAGTGGGTAAGTTTAAATTATTTTATAGAAGAAATTTCATTTTAAATTTGTTGAGATTACTGCTTATTATCATGCCTACTATGTGCGCTATGTATAGAGTTTTGTTTTCGTTAATTGTTAATTTATACTAAAAACTTTAATGCAAAATTATACTAAATTTGCAAAAATTATCACACTGCCTGTGCGTTTATTTCTCCTTTGTTTCGAGGGGGGAAAACGTTAAGGTCTTTGAATTTGAAAATGAGTTTTCACTTTTAATGAAATGATGTCAATACTTTGAATGCAGGATGTGATGTTTCCATATATTTCAATATCAAGTTTACTGCAGTGGATATCGATCTGTTGTTGGAAGGAATTTCATTTGTCGTCGTTTTAGTTCCGTTTGTTGCTAAAATTCCTTTCCTTGCATATAGTTGATTTTTTGCGCATTCCAAAAGTTTTCTGAAAAAAAAAAAATTAAAATACAAAAATTAATTTTGGAAAATACCATAGGTAATAGGAAACATAAACCCAAATTCACAAGTTTGTGTATATGTAAATTTTTCAGCTCTCTCTTTCAAAAACAATGTCCTTCACCGCAAAATATTTATCTGGTAATTTGGATTTCTATTTAAAAATTAAATTGTATATCGTTTACTATCTTGACTCGTTTTGCATAGATGGATTTTCTGTATCTGATAATTTACGAATACTTTTATGGAGATGACTAGATTACATAAGACATAAGATCTAAATCTATATAATTCTATATAACTGTTTCTCATCAAAGACCAGTCAAATTCCACAACAGGGATAAATTTCCATGCGGAGACTCAAAACATCGCAGTAGGTTTTTTTAAGTACTATGTCTCGAAAGCATTAGTAGTTGATAGCCTCCCTTGAGCTCTAAAGCAAAAATCTCTAAAAATGCACCATTTCGGTGGAGGACCGGGTCCCAACTCTGGCTATGTCGATGGTATATCCCACACATAAAGGTTTCCCCCGATGTTTAAATTTTGGGCGATTTATTTATTTCTAATCCGACTCTGCTTCTAACTACAAGTTCTAAAGGGAATCGACCAGTATGTACCGGGTTCATAATAGTGCAGAAATTAGGTGAGTAAGTTTGGCAATTAAAGAGATGTAGCGTGTCATGTGGGTCTGTGCCAGTTGCGCGGGGTTCTCAACTAGCGAAGATTGTCTTTTACCATCCGGCGAATGATCTCCAATAGGTCTGAGCCTCTCTCCTTTTACTTGATAGGTCTGAGCCTCTCTCTTACACCTCAGTTCAACTCTCTCTCGACCATGAAGGTAGACGATCGACGGGTGTCATGACCCTGTTGGAGTTCTAGGAGTGACGTTCTGACAGGATTAAGTATATTTGCATTTCCACAGAACGGCCTATAGAATTATAAGAGGTCAACTAGATTTTCTTATTAGCTTCTCAAATGCTGCCGGCACTAGTCTTTAAAACCTTGTTCCTAATTCTAATCTAATTGCAGATAGCTGTCGTATGCGAGAACGACTTAAACAGGATATAGAATGTGCCCTTCAGTCCTTGGAGTAATTGGATAATTAAAACACCATCAACTTGTACATGGTCTCATTTCCTGGTTGCGTCCCCTGTTAATATGTGTGAAAATTACGAGAAATGCTGTGCACTGTCTGGAATCCTTGCTGATGATCAGTTACTGGGAAAATCTCTCTGATGCTGGCGAGGAGTAAAGCCTCAAGCGCCGTCGCTACCAACTACAAAGTAGTGTGGGACTTGCGCAGTCACCCTTGCCTACTTTCAGCAGCGGAACCTGCCTGCCCAGTTTCCAGGATTCTCTAACAGATAGAATTTAACTACGATAAGGTAAGTTTGATACTAAATTCCTGCTTCATTCAGTTATTTCAACATTGCTATAAATATTCCCTTAGGAGCAGTTGCTATAGATGTGTTTGCGCTTTTTCATATAAAAGATACTGTTTAAAACTGATTAAAAGTAATTTCTAAAATATTCATTTTTTTTCTAAAAGTTGCCAACATGTCGCACTTTATAAAATCTGGTGAATAGGCCACTAAAAAGTACTAATGGATTAAGAGAAGCCCAAGAGGAATTTCCAACAAATCAAAAACTGAAACATTTTATATAATATTGTGAACAAGTACCATTTGAAAGCTGGTGAAGCGACCGATTACTAATTCGTATAGGCTCTTTCAATCGATAATTCTGGAAGGCCACCAGTTATATATATCACTTGCAGCTTTTAAAAGGCCAACAACGTAAAATCCGGTAAGATGTGACATTTAAAGGACTCTGACCAGAGATGAAAGAAATCTACAGCCTTTGAATGTCAATCTAATGTGAGCAAACGGATAATACATAAGAATGAGGACTACTACCAAATATGATTTAAGAGAAGTGTGTTTGGGAGAATGCATTTCATTCCAACCAATTAGACATACACTGCAAGTCTTCTGTGCTAAACATTTTCTTTAAAATGGACATGAACCATTCATTTCTTCAAATAACTTCCGACACATTAAACTATTTTTTCCAGCCATCTTTTCAAAACTATGGCATACTATTAGTCATCCCCTTAAAAGACATCGAAGACATCATTAAAAAAAAATGTCATCTTAAAACACAAAACTACATTTTAATACTCACTTTTAATTTTATTTATCGATGTGTTAGATCCATAGGATTTGTATCGTCATAGGCTTCCAGCGCCTCTAATGTGAAGAAACGGCTTTATTATTGCTTTCTTTTTATTTTCTTTAAGACTTTGTCTGTGGATTATTTTAAAGCACTTTATGTTATCTTGCTCTCGAATTTCATAGCTTGGAGATGCTCCACTTTGTGTTTTTTTATAATTTTGTCACTATTGCCTTAGGGGGGAAGCACTCCTTGTCAAAACGAAAGATGACTTATCTACTGAAACTGCTTATAATATTGCCACAAAATCCCTTGATGATGATTCATTCGAGCAAAAAATTTATGGTTTTCTTTTTACGCCCACCCTCCTCCTTTTTGCCGTTTGGTGTTCAATTCTGTCATTACTTTACAACAGCGGCAAGAACAACATTGGCAATAGAGCACACACAACTATTTTTGTAATAAGGAAATTGTTTCGAATGTCCTTTGTTGTAAAAATAGAGGATGGATGGATGGCTGTTTGGATGGTTTAGATCAATTGTTGTCGTTGTTGTTATATCCTTTCTTTATTATGTTTGCAAGTGCTTAGTGCTTTCTGAAGAGTTTAGACGCCCCTAATCGCTTCGACTAAATGCTATTGTTGTGTGGCGTTTGTCGCCTGTTTGTCTTGCCTCGTCTTCCTCTGAGTTTTCTGTGTCGACTGATGTCTGCTGCAGGTGTTCTTGGTGTCCCCAGTCGCATTAACATATCGACGCCCAGTCATTAAACATGATTTGTTTTGAGTTTTCTTGCAACATTATGTGTGTTTGCTGCTACTGCTGCTGGGGGTATGTTGTCGTTGTCGAATGAATCCGTTGCTCTCGCTCTCTGCGGGCTAATAACAAAAATAAAATCAAGTTAAATCTTGCCGGTTGTATTTGAAATTTTACTTTTAAATACCACACGCCAGACAAAATGCAAAAATTATAATTAGGTCCACCACTCTCCAACTACTACGCCGTCGTTGTTGTCTCCTTAGCTGTTAGCTGTTTCCAACGTGCAGGTTGGTGCCTTGCCTTTTAGTTGTGTTGTCTCGTCTGTCCGTTTGTATTTTGTGTTTAATTTTTCCCTATGCTTGTTGGCACCGTCTCCGCTCTCTTGCTTCGGCTCTCATCACAATTGCTCTCCACAAAATGTGAATGTGGCCAGGGCAAAAAGTTAAGTTCGCAAGTTCTTTGCACCTTTTTTTGTAAACGGGTGGGGGGCTAACTTCAGCCTGCCTACACTTCAACACACAACAATGAGCACGAACAATCGAATTCGATTTTGTTCCTTTTTTAACTAGACACTTTACACTTTGTGGAAAATACTATGCAATTTCATTATTTTCTTTGATTCTTTTTTTGTTGGTTTATTATTTATCATAAACTTGTTATTGTTTTATTGAACTTTTCCACCACAACACGACAGTAATTTGCTATTTAGGTCTTTTCTTATTTCTCAGAGCAAAGAACTGGGCTGCAGAGAGATTTATGACAACGCCGTTGTGTGGTGTATGTATATAGAAAGAATAGAAGAATTACTTTACTTAGTTGTTTTTTAAATAATCCTGTCCAACAAATGTGTCCAATCCAATTCTTGTTTTATTGGTTTTATCCCTCCTTAATATTAATCTTATTGGTCTTATTGGATAATTATTGATTGTGGTGATTGCTGTCTCTACTTCGTTTGGTTTAGTTGTCAGTTGCGAGCATTGGAAACAAAAATGAAAAACGTCCCAACGAAACGAATATGAAGGCCACAAAGGAATACCCGATAAAAAGTAAACAGAAAGCAAAGACTCCGGGTACTCTGTTGTTTACGAATGAGACATGAGAGAATTGAACATCTTCACTAAAGAGCTCGAAACTAGTTACAAATTAAATTCAATTCGACGGCGGTGCGACATGACAGACGGACGGGTTGATGGATAGATAACGGCGTTGAGAGTGAATGTGTTGGCGTCTTGTCTCTATTGCAGGGTGATTCATATATTAGAAAATGTACAATGGAAAAGTGATTATTTTAAATAAGAAATTTTTGGGTGAAAAATATGAAAATCCAACACTTCTTTGGGTTTTTGATTTCCAACTCGAGTACTAATAACCAAATAATAAATCCAGTTGGAATTTTTCATAAGCCAGATTGGCTATTGGACAGTGAAATTGAAGTGAAAAAAAAATGCAGCGAATTCGGAAAAGTGCTAAATTTGTCGAAAGTAGAAATGATTTTATAAACCAAAATTTATACTACAGGGTGAGATGAAAAAACTGCAACCAACTACATTCTGCTGTCATTTCTAAGCCACTCGTCCGACAGCTGTTAAAATTATTCCAGTGTATTGTTTACAAGCGTACAAAAGCATTTTGGTAAGAATTTTCCAGAAAAAAAAGTTATTCGTGATGGAATTCAAGCGTGATAGTGTGATTTCTTTATATTTGCCTGGAAAAACCAGAAGTGTCTATCATTGGAGCACTCCAGCATTTAAATGTGAATAAATCTTTTGTGTCTCGTACCATCTCTCGATACCGTGGTAGTGGTAGCGTAGCCCGACGTCAAGGAAGTGGACGGAAGAAAACAGCAACATCAGCAGAAATGGTTCGAAAAGTAAAGAAGCGACTTGATCGAAACCGGCGTCGCAGTGGCCGAAAAATGCGCGTGAGCTGAACATATCGCAATATTCCTTTGGGAAAATATTGAAAAATGAGCTCGCGGTAAAGCCATTGAAACTCCAAAAATTGCAAGAACTTACACCGCCAGAGAAAGAAAATAGACTCAAAAAGGCTAAAGAGTGACTTCGCTTGGCCGAGAGTGGTGAACTGCCGAATTTGGTTTTCTCCAGCAGTCCAGCAGTTTATAAACAAACAAAATGACCGTGTTTACTTGCCAAATAGGTCAGCTGAAAATGTGCACCTTCGGTTGGCCATCAGAACACAAGTGCCGGCCATGGTGATGGTGTGGGTCGCCATAACAGCCGATGGTCGCTCTTCGCTCGTATTAATCGACCGTGGCATCAGAATAAATGCCGAATATTATCGCGAAAGTATTCTGGAGGTTGCATTAAAGCCTTGGGCACGCAAACATTTTGACCGCAGACCTTGGACATTCCAACAGGACCCAGCACCATCGTAGACAGCAAACGCCATCCAAGAATGGTTACAAAATTAGGTTCCTCGCTTCATTTCCAGCGCATAGCGCAATGGCCACTTCGGGCAGCGTGTGAAGGTTTCATTGGCCGTTTGAAGGCCATAATTCGTGCCAAAGGTGACCAATTCGAACAAATCTACACATATTCTAAAATTTGATGGTATTTCCGACATTTTTTGCTTTCATTCAATAAAAAAAAAATAAAAACAATGTGGAAGAGGGGGTAACTTTCCTCCTCTATTTAGGTTACTTTCCTATGTAAATTTTCAAAATGCCGTTACACTTGTCTTCTATTTTTAGCCCTACTTTCATAATCTATTAGATTATTTCAGTATTTTTTTTTTGCACAGTGCAGGCGATGTTATTGGATAATTCTTATTGAGGAAAAATTTCCCCAGTAAGAATGGAGAATCGGGTTATGGAACAAGATTTCTTAATAATTTCATTAATTATTTATTTTTTGTTTCTATGATTTTGTTTTTTTTTTTTTTTTGAATATTTTTTGAAATAAAGTGAAATCGAAATCTTCTCCTCTTTAGGTTAATGATCCAAACTACAGGGCTATTGCCAAAATCATGTAATACAATATTTGCTGAAATAGGCCAAACCACTTCTCGCCTTCCGTTCCACTTCTGTTTGCAGCAAAGCATTTTGCAAGTTTGTTTCAATTCTCTCGCTTATCGTCACAACCTCTATAGATTTTGCAATTTACGTAAAGAAAAACGGCAAAATATTGAAAATGAAAATCAGCAAAAATCAAAAAAATTATCAGCAGTTCTCGCTGGACTCACCTGACGTCTGATTAACTATTTTGCTGTGAAATGTAAAATTTATTTGATATAAATACACCCAGTGGAAGCCAGTGGAGGGTACATTTCACAAGTTAGAACATTCGGCTTAAGAAGTGCCCGTACGACTTTGGGAATTTTTGAAACTGACCGACAGAAGGATGAATCCATTGGGAGTTTTGTGCTTTGTAGCCATTGTGACTGCCGGCTCCTTGGCCTCACAATCGCAGGACTACATTCCAAAGCCAGCGCATTGGCTGAAACCCACCGAATTGGAGGCCACACCATCTTTGAATGAGCTCACCTTTGAGCAGCTGGAGAATATGCCATTGGAAAAGGGAGCCAAATTGATGCGTAAACTCTGTAAGTTGCCAGTCAAGCATTTGGAAAAGACCTCCAATAATTCATTTTCTCCTCTCTCTAGACCACCTGTCCCAAATCGACTACTCTGTGTCGCCCAACTTTGTGCCCAGCCCCAGCAATGTCCCCGTCTACATTTTCAACAGCAAGGGTGAAAAGGAAACCTGCAACTTGAACAACTACGTCGACATTGCCAAGGAAAAGCCGAAATTTGGCGAACAAGAAGTCACCGTTTTCATCACCGGTCTGCCTCAGTCCTTGGAGGATGTTAAGAAGGCCAACACCAAATTGATCCAGTCCTACATTCAACGTTACAGCAAAAAACCCGAAGCACCCCAGGGTGAGGATCAATCGAAATGGGAAAATGAAAAACCTGTGGGCGGTCATTTGGTTGTCATCGATTTGGGCCATGCCATCACCAATGTTGAACGTTATGCCACTTTGAATGTCAAGGAGACCGGTAAAATGATTGGCAAGACCTTGGCTGAGTTGGAGAAGGAGAGCAATGTCGATTTGGAAGATCTCCATGTCATTGGTCAGGGTATTGGTGCCAATGTTGCCGGTGCTGCTGGTAAGGCTTTCAAGGACATTACCACCCACAAATTGGATCGCATCACTGCCTTGGACCCTGCCAGCCAAATGGCCAAGGATCCCAAAGTTTTGACCGGTTTGTCTCGAGGCAGTGCCAAATTCGTTGATGCCATCCACACCTCCGCCTTGGGTATGGGTACCACCCGTCGTGTCGGTGATGTTGATTTCTTCCCCAATGGACCATGCCAAGGTGTTCCCGGTAGCCGCAATGCCATCGATGCCCAAGCTCGTGCCACACGTCTCTTTGCCGAAACAGTTCGTCCCGGAAACAGCCGCAACTTCCCTGCCGTTGAGGCCAGCTCTTTGAAACAGTATCGCAACAATGATGGCTATGGCAAACGCACCTACATGGGCATTGCCACCCATCGTGACATCTCTGGTGACTACATGTTGGAGGTCAACGCCGAGAGCCCCTATGGCAAGAGAACCCCCGCCCGCAAACAAAAATCATACCATGGTGTTCATCAAACTTCCTATGCCAAAAGCAATGAAAACTATTAGAACGTTGGATGTTTGGCAGAGGAAATGACTCCGAAAAAATTAAGCTGTGAATATTTGTCGAACAAGAAAACAAAATTTTAATTCAAAATTTGTGTAATTTTTTAGAGAAGAAAAAAAAAACATCGAAGATAAATTATTGATTATTTAATAAAAAACAAAATAAAACTCTGAGCATTACAAAAAGGAAATATTTATTTGAATTTTTATTCTTATAGGACCGGGCGGGATAAACAAGATTATTAAAGAAGGGCTAAAAATATAAGACAAGTGTGTCGGCGTTTTGAAAATTTATATCGTAAAGTAACCTAAATAGGGGGGGGGGGTCATGTCCCCCTCCTCCTTATTTTAGGAAATTTTCATAAACATTTCTTGGAATTATTGCAATTATTTAAAATTCGAATACCTGGTGGGGAAGTGGGGGATCTGAAGGAGTTTGATGATCTATCCCATTGATAGAAACATTGTGACATGCGAAGGCAATGGGACTATTTTATAAAATTTTATAAGAGTTATTAATATTCCAAATGTTGGTTTTTTTGTGGGGAAGGTACCAGAATAAGTGGTCCGGTCTATCCAATCTTCATATCTTTTTTAAAAGAGTTAGGATTATTCACAATTTTGACCCTTTGTGGGAGCATTGTCAGAAGAAGCGGTCTCCATCTATCCCATCTTCATACTAACTCTAGAATTGGTAAAAATATTGAGATACGCGAAATTTGAAGACAATCCGACTCTTCGTACACATGTTATGAACTTCGTGATTATTCAAAATTTTGAACCTTTGTGGGGGAGTTGACTTGAAGGAGTTGACCGATATTTTTGCACTTGACCTAGCATTGACAAAAATATTGATATGTGCAAAGTTTGAAGAAAATCGGATAATTTTTTCGCTTTCTGTGAGGTAAACTATTTTCTTTGAATTTTTGGACCTTATGTGTGGGAGGTACCAGCAGGAGTGGACCGATATTCTCCATCTCTTAACTCAATCTAAGTTTGATTATAATATTATAATGTACCAAAATTGAATCAAATCGGAAAGTCCGTTCGAGAGTTATTGTGGGCATCAACCAGCCCGAATTGGGCGCCATTTTTTAAGGTATTGAAAATGCTAAATAATGAGTTCGTTTATAAAAAGTGTTGCCAAAATTTTTGGGAAGCTGTCCGATTTGGGCGCCATTCCCTAATGGATTAAATTACCAAAAAATAAACGAAGCTTTTGAAATTATTATTTTTTTGCGAAGCTCTAAGAATAAATAATAACGAACGGATGAGCCCATATCTAATTATATATACCCTTTGTAGCCATATGGCTTAATGACCAGGGTAGCCATATGGCTTAATGACGAGGGTTGGGCGCCATTTTCTGTTCACAGTGAAGTAGTCATTGTGAGGAAAATTGTCCAATAGAATCTCGCCTCAATTTCCAAATCATTTTCAAACGGATTGAATAGTTAAGGAATAACCATAAATTGAGTTGAAATCCTCAAATAATCACAAATAGATGAGCCAGAGTCGAGTTTTTCACTTAAGTCCCCAATCAGTCGTTGGGCGCCATTTTAAATTTTCACAATCATCGATGGGGCATAGGAGAGTTAGTTTAAAGAGTGTTGCCAACATATGTAAGTGTTTGTCCGAGTTGGGTGCCATGGATTGAATCGCTAAGAAATAAACGTAATTTTTGAAATTGAATACCTTTGCGAAGCCCTAAGTCTTCTAAAGTGTTGGATACCTTAAATAATCATAACTGTATAAGCCAGAGTCGAGTACTGCTCCAAAGCTTCCAATCAGCCGTTGAGCGCCACTGCCAGTTCACACTACAGACCGCTTCAATCGGCCTTTCATAGCGTTGTTAATAGGTTCAACGATATACAAGACTTAGGTCAATCAGTCACTGGGCGCCAGGAGAACTGATTTGTAGATGAATTTCCCTATAAAATCTCACCTCAAGCGGTGATGCTAAGGAGAGTCAGTTTAGGAAAAGTGTTGACAAAGTCTCTCAGCAGTTCTCCGATTTTGGCTCCATTTTCAAATAAATTGAATTGCTAAGGAGTAAGAGAAACTTTCGAAATTTAACAGCTGGAAAAGCCAAAGCCAAGTTTTTTTACCAAATGTCCCAGTCAATCGTTGGACGTCATTTTCAGTTTACCCTGCAGAATTTATTAAAAGGACGACTTTTTACTGATGCTTTGGCGATTTGTGAATGTAATTTGAATAGCTAAGGAATATGCACAACTTTCGAAATTGAATTGTTTTGTGAAGCCCTAAGTCTTCGAAAGCGTTGGACCTCTTAAATACCCACCACTGCCATAATCGAGTACTTCACTAAAGTTCCGAGCGCCATTGTAGGGTTACACTACAGAACTTTCACAATCGATGGTGCTAGGGTCAGTTAGTTTAAAAAAAAAGTGGATTTAAGTACTTGTCCAATTTGGGCGCCATTTTCAAAACGATTGAACTGCTAATAAATAAACCCAACTTTCGATGTTGAACTGCTTTGCGAAGTTCCAAGTCTTTTAATGAGTTGAACCACGTACAGAATCACACCTGGATGAACTGGAGCCTAGCACTGTTCCAAAATTCCCAATCAGTCGTTGGGCGCCATTTTCAGATTACACTGCAGAACTGATTATGAAGTCGATTAGTTTATGAAAACTGTAAGTAGTTGTTCGAATGCAATTTTCGAATGCAATTTCGAAATTGAATTATTTTGTGAAGCCCTAACGCTGGAAATACATAAAGCGCATACTTGGCTGGCTTAAGTCATCGGCTGGCTTCTTCGTAGATGAACAAAGGAGTTTTAGGTTGACCTTGTTCGATTTTGGCCCTAGGCTCCTTTCTTCATGTCCGAAGAAGCCAGCCGATGACTTAAGCCAGCCAAATAAGCGCTTTATGTATTCCCAGCTTAAGTCTTCGAAATAAAAACCACTGGATAAACCAGAATCGAGTACTTCACTAAAGTTCCGAGTCCGTCGTTGGGCGCCATTTTCCGGTTGCACTTCATAACTGTCGACTTTCCAATAGAATCTCAATATAAACCTCAGTCAGTTTTTCCGGTAGAATCTCACCTTTATCGGTCGAGATTACTTTATGAAAGCGATTTGCCAAATTTTAAGCTACTTAAAGCTTTCCGATTTGGGCGCCATTTTCAAATGAATTGAGTTGCTAAAGAATTTCCCCAACTATTGAAATAGGGCTGCTTAACGAGGTCCTAAGTAATTTAAAGCATGAGCCATTGTCGAATTCTTCACCAAAGTTTGCAAATCAATCGTTGGGCGCCATTTTCATTTTACACAATTTACGCCATTTTCACTTTACACTGGTGAACTGATTATGACAATGATTTGTGATATGATAAAAGAATTTCAGTAGGTGGTGCATTGGTGAATCAGTTTTTGAAAACTGTTGCCAAAGTTTTTAAATAGATGCCCGATTTGGGCGCCATTTTTAAATGAATTGAATTGTTAAGGAATAACCGCAAACTATGAACTACTTTGCGAAATCCTACGTCTTCTATGGCCTTGGACCCTTATCTAGATGAGCCATAGTCGAGCTAGATGAGTCATAGTCGAGTACTTTACCAAAGTTCCTAATTCGTCGTTGGGCGCCATTTTTATTTCACACTGCAAAACTGATTATGAAGACAAATTTTTCTATAGAATTTCGCCTCAATCGGGGGTGAGCTATGTTTTTAAGTAGCTATCCGATTTACCAAAAATATGTTCCGAAGATAGTAGAAAGAAATGAAATACGAAATTTATTTTTAATAAAAATGCATAAGTTTTGTTATATTTTTTTCAAAATTTTCCGAACATCATTATCCATTACACGAAACAAATGCGGGGCAATACTACTAAACTAAAGAACTAAATACATCGGTCAGAATCTTTCAGATAAAACAGATCACTTGTCCAGGTATCTCATTGTAAAAGCGTTCACCTCTTGTGCCAATCCCTTAATTTTCCTCAGAGGAAGATGAATAGGATTTTTTCCAAGACTTGGAGGAGGAAGGGGAAGCATATTCTTCTGACTTGAATTTCTTGGCAGAGGTACGTTTACCGAATGGTTTGGTCGAGTCAACTTCCAAAATGTAATCACCTTCGACATCATCGTCGCATTCGATACCCATGTACACGGGTTTGCCATAACCCTCTTTGTTCTTGTAGCTCTTTAGGGAGTTGGATTCAACGGCAGGGAAGTTGCGTTCATTGCCAGGGCGTACAGATTCGGCGAAGTAGCGTGTGGCACGCATGCAGGCCTCAACAACATTGTTAGCACCGGGAACACCTTCAGAGGGGCCATTGGGGTAGAAATCGGCATTGGCAACACGGGCTGGAGTACCCATGGCATGGGCAGAGGTATGGATGGCGTCGACAAAGATGGCATCACCACGGGCCAAACCGCTCAATTTTTCGGGATCTTCGGAGTGCAATTTTGCGGGGTCCAAGGCGGTGATGCGGTACAATTTGTTGCCAGTCAAGCGTTTGAATTCCTTGCCACATTCACCGGCCACATGGGCGGCAGAGTTTTGGGCAACAATGTGAATGATGTCCTTGCGGCAGTCCAATTTGGTGATTTCGCGGGCAATCTTGGCACCAACTTCGGAGACGCTCAACATGGCGTGTTGTTTCAGGTTCTGCAATTTTTCACCCAAGTCGATGACCTGAAAAAGGGAACAGTTGATTTTTAAGGAGAAATATTTTGGATTTTTATGTGGCAGCCTTTACATACCACCAAACTTCCGGAGGCATGTTTGGGTGTTTCCCATTCAAAATCATCATAGTCACGACGGGTGGAAGTCTTCTTCTCACTGCTGTCATAGTCATATGAGCGAGGTTTTTGTCTCTGGACATTGTAATGTTCCATGTAGGCTTGGACAAGTTCTTGATTGGCCTTCTCAACCGATTCACAGCTGCTGGAGGGCAGACCGGTAATAAAAATGGTCACCTCCTGTTTGCCGAAGTTGGGTTGTTGATTGGCACTTTCGGCGAATTTGTCCAAAGTGGTGGATTCCTTTTGGCCATTGGATTTTACGATGTAGACGGGAACACTGCTGGGATTGGGGGCATAGGATTTGGGCAAGGGGCTGTTGATTTGGGAGACATGGTCTGCCAAAAAAAAAAATTTAAAAATTAGAGACTTCTCTCCCCAAACCCTCAAAAGAAATACTCACAAATGGTCTTCAGCAACTTGGCACCCTGTTCCAGAGGCATACTCTCCAAATTCTTGATGGAAACATCATCCAAAGCGGGTATCTTCTCCAGCTGGGAGCGAGACAACCATTGCGAGGGCTTCAGAGAATTCGATGACTTGTGTTCATGGTGATTGCCACAAACGGCGCTAGCCAGCAGGGCTACCACACAAAGAGCTTTCAAAGGATTCATAATATTTTTAATTTATGAAATTATTCTGCAGCCTTCTTCAAAGCTCTGTTTATTCTTCGTTTTTCGAACTGGAACCGTATGTAAAAACCTTGACCAATGAAAGTGAGCAGTGATCTGTGTTAATTGTCGGAAAGCTCAATGATTTTATAGCCCCAAAAAGTAGCTGACTCAAAATGAATCGAAAATGTTCTATAAGTTTTCCGTTTCCTATTAAGCCGGCTCATCAATTTTTTGCTTGGAAACTTTTTGAAATGCAATCAATGCAACCAGCAAGAATGAATGGCTCGTGCCTGGGGTTCAGCAAAAAATAATAAAATATAAAAAAACTTTTATTGCTTCCGTTCATTATCAGTTAGTTTTGATTTGATTGATTTGTGAAGAGGTTATTGGCTTCCAAATGAGATTAGCTGATAACTGTATTGCCAGCTGTGTAACTCGACTTTTTAATGCAGATATGAGGACATTGGGATCTGGAATCTATTGCAATTCAAGCTTATGACAATGTTTTAGATTAGTAAAGATAGTGATGTTTTTTTTGCAGCTTTATTCAGATTTAGGACTTCAAAAAATTTAAGTGGATGTTTTGACATTCATTGACCTGGCAGATTATTTAATTGGATGTTTGAAAGTCATACAAGAAATGCAATTTAGTTTTAAGATATTCGATAGAGAATTATTAACAATTATTGGGCGCCATTCTGATAAACTTTTCGGATAGAAACTCACCTCAAACGGTGTTGCTAAGGTCAGTTAGTTTATGAAAACTGTTGCCAAAGTTTGTAAGTAGCTGCTCAACTTGGGCGCCATTTTCAAAATAATTAGATGGCTCGAAAAAACGCAACATTTAAAATTGAATTCTTTTGCGAAGCCCTAAGTCTTCTAAGATTTTGGACCCCTTAAATAAACACAATTGGATAACCCAGAGCCGAGTACTTCACCAAAGATACCAATTTTCGTTGGGCGCCATTTTTACTTCACACTTTAGAACAGATTATGGAAGAGAAATTGTTTTTAGGAATCTGACCTCAATCCATGATGTTAAGGTGGATTAGTATATGAAAGCCTTTCGTCGCAATATGCAACGTAAGGAGTGGCTTGATTTGGGCGGCGTTTTTTAATTGAATTGATCTGCAAAGGAATGAACGCAATTTTTGAAACTCGCCAGCAAATATAGCAATAAATTGGTACAACTGTCACCCATTTTTGCTATCTTTAGAGTTGTAAAAAATGATGTTGGGCGCCATTTTTAGATGAGACTACAGAAATGATTATGAAGATGAGTTTTCAGAGAGAATTTGGCCTCATTCGGTGATGGTTAGTTCACGAACCTAGAAACCAAAAACATAATAAGTGATCCTAATTGAACGCCATTTTAAAATTGGTTGAATAATCGTGGTCGCTGGGATTTAATTTAGCTTTAATATTCTAGTTACAAAATTGCAAACAAACTAGGTCAAATTGGGCGCCATTTTATGCAAAGATTTAAAAATTATATGAACCGGAACTATTGTAAGTTTGATTCAATGTTAGTGTAGAGTATTACATAGTTATCTATGATTTATAAAGAGAGATATTTTTCCGTAACAAATATAGGTTTTTTGGTGCATAAAGTTGGTTCGAAATTGTTTATCGACCTGCGTACTACCATGGTACAATGAAGAGAAGGTAGGCCAACTTTGAAAAAATTGCAAGTATAGAGGTCTACCTGTTTGGCTTGTAATGTCAGAATCAGTATCAAAACAATAAAAAAACAAACTTGTTGCATTTATTTTCGATAAATAATTGAAAAACCCGATAATTGAACGAAAGGTCAACACTTCTTTTCAAAATCATGTACTATATATCTCTGAAGGATTATTTCGCTACAAAAACTCTAGATTTTGTCGATGCATACTTTGAAATAAACATTTTGAAAACACCCGAATTTGAATATTTTCTGAGCATTTTTGTTGTTATTGAAAAGAAAACACATACATAAACAAATAAAGAAGCCAAGAAAATAAAAAAATTAAAATCATATGGTATCATAGCCCTACCTTAATATCATTGTACCATGCGTACTACCCTATTTGGTCGCAGTTTTTAGCAACGTAATGTGGACACGTATCGGGATCTCAAGGAATAAGGATTCATTTTGAAATTTAACAAAGCCTTTTCAACGGTGGCCTCAAGTTCTTCCCCAAACAAACTGGAATGTGATCTCGTAAAAAACCAAAAACATCTTACAGAAGAACAGAACAGAATGATTTTCTCCCCAAGCCTCCCAAGGACTTCTTATAGAAGAATGTGCAAAAGAGTCTCTGCACAGAAAAAAGGTCCTCCTATTAATTATTGGAAAGACCAAACGGCCAGCAATAGACGACAATAAGGTCATCTCATGAAAGAGCAGAAGTTCTTCTCAAGTTCCCGTTCTGCATAGAAGACAACAAATTCTTCTGATAGAATAGCAGAATTTCAGAGTTCTCTGATAGTAGATCCGAAGCCCTTCTCTAAAAAGGCCAGAAGGTTTATTCATTGTAGATATATAGCTCTTCTTATAGAAGGCCGGGAGGCCTTCTCATAGAAGATGGTAGGTCTTCTCACAGAATACCTGAGATCTAAAAGCAGACAAAGCCCAATAGAACATCAGAAGTCCACAAAAAATTTTAAAGTCTTCTAATAGAAAATCAGAAGTTATTCTCATAGAAGCCCAGAAAATCTTCTTATACAAGATCATAACGTCTTCTTATAGAAGAAGGACTTTTTATAGCAGACCAGAAGGTCTTCTTATAGGAGACCAGAAGGTCTTCTTATAGGAGACCAGAAGGTCTTCTCATAGAAGACCAGAAGGTCTTCTCATAGAAGACCAGAAGGTCTTCTCATAGAAGACCAGAAGGTCTTCTCATAGAAGACCAGAAGGTCTTCTCATAGAAGACCAGAAGGTCTTCTCATAGAAGACCAGAAGGTCTTCTCATAGAAGACCAGAAGGTCTTCTCATAGAAGACCAGAAGGTCTTCTCATAGAAGACCAGAAGGTCTTCTCATAGAAGACCAGAAGGTCTTCTCATAGAAGACCAGAAGGTCTTCTCATAGAAGACCAGAAGGTCTTCTCATAGAAGACCAGAAGGTCTTCTCATAGAAGACCAGAAGGTCTTCTCATAGAAGATCAGAAGGTCTTCTCATAGAAGACCAGAAGGTCTTCTCATAGAAGACCAGAAGGTCTTCTCATAGAAGACCAGAAGGTCTTCTTATAGAAAACCAGAAGGTCTTCTTATAGAAGATCACGAAGTCTTCTTATAGAAGATCACGAAGTCTTCTTATAGAAGACAAGAAGGTCTTCTTAGAAAACACCAAAAGGACTTCTTATAAAAAACCAGAAAGACTTCTCATAAAAGACCAGCAGAAGACACAGAAGACCAGAAGGTCTTCTCATAGAAGATTAGAAGAAGGCCTTCTTATAGAAGATTAGAAGAAGGTCTTCTTATAGAAGACAAGAAGAAGGTCTTCTTAGAGATGACCAGAAGAAAGTCTTCTGAGAGAAGAACAGAAGAAGGTCTTCTTATAAAGGACCAGAAGTAGGTCTTCTTATAGAAGACCACAAGAAGGTCTTCTCAGAGAAGTCCGGAAGAAGGTCTTCTAAGAGAAGACAGGAAGAAGGTTTTCTTATGGAAAACCAAAAGCAAGACTTTTAAAGCAGTCTTCCTTTAGAAGATGGGAATTGTTTCCATAACATACCAGAAGTTCTTGTCATTTTAGCCTAGAAGCTAGTTTTATTAAAGATAGAATACCACAACTTTATCTCCGACGATCCTTTTAAAAATATTTTTAAAAAATCTTGAGTATTATTTTTTATATTATTATTTAAAACATTTTTTTGGTCTTTTTTAAAATGTTCGCAAATAAATCCCCAAAGTATTTGGAAAATTTTAAATGTGTATAAATGCATATTCAGTGACAATGACCTTGAACTATAATTTAATCTATGTTCCAGTTGCTTCTTATCACAATAGAAACTTGGATTTGGTACCTACAATCTCTATAAGGCAATGACTTTTCATTACATTGTAAGATAGTGACAGATTGGAAATAATGTAAGATAGTAACAGATGTGAAATCGGGGAGAAATATACATTTGAATATATCATATGCACATACTACCAAAAAGAGTGTTCGAAGTTTGAGAGAAATATTAGTACAATTGGATACAAAGGTAGACAGACAAGTAGTACACTGGGTCGGCTTTCGACCATAGGAATATGAAACTCTTGTTTTTTACCGTATGATCTCTTTAGACCGTATGATCTCTATGAGAAGATCATCTGTCCTTATTTGAGAAGATTTTACGCCCTTTTCTAAGAATATAAGAATTTATTACGAAATTTCTTTACCTCCTATATAGGTAAGAATAGAAAGAACCTCCCCCTTCTGTGTCATGATTCCTTTCCCTTCTATGAGAAGAATCTACCCTCTTCTGTTTCCTGATTTTTTTTGTCTTCTATGAGAAAATTATCTGATCCGCTCATATATGAGAACACATTTTACTCTTTTATGATTTGATGATGAGATTTGCTGGTATTCCGTGAGACCTTCTGCTATTCTATGATAATATATGTTGTCCCCTGTCCCGAAAGGTCGCTGTGAGTGAGTAAATTCTCTCTGAAGTCTTAAGGATATTCTACTAGTTTATACGAAGGATAAAAAGTTTACGATAAAAACTCTACTCCGAAAAGAGCATCTACTTTTCTGAAAAAAACTCTTTAATATTCTATGAGAAAACACTCGACTATTCTATGGAAAATCTTTGGAATATTTCTCTGTTCTCCTAAGAGAAGTTTTTTTGCGTTTTTAACTAGGGACTCGCCGCACTTTAATATGATTACTATCTGCCTAATTATGAGAAGTGTAACTGCTTATTCTTTGGGAAGACCCCCAGTTCTCCAAGAGAAGATTTTCTGCTCTTATATAAATAAAATCTCTGTGTGTGCTTTTATGAGAAAACATAATGTAAGATTGCTCTCATCTTTCATGAAAATACTCTCAGCTCTTTTGAAAATATTTTTGGTCTTCTATTTCAGCTTCTCAGCGTATTTATGAGATCCTGTTTTCAAAAGAAGCTCTGCTATTCTAAGGGTCAGCTCTTTATTATCCTACTGTTATATGGCAACCTTATAAATTTCTCTAAGAAGTCTCTCTGTTTTTAGACCCTCAGTCATATGGTTAGAGAGGGTATATATCATTTGATACGGCCAAAACGTGCCTCATCGACGGTTTTTGACCCAAGATCTGGTGTGAAGATGGAATATATCGGTCCACTACTACTGGTACCTCCCCCACAAAGGGTCAAAATGTTGAATATCCATGAAGTTCACATAACGCGAAATTAGCATCCGATTTTATTCAGACTTGACACATCTCAATATTTCTATGAATACTAGATCTGTTATAAAGATGGTAGAAATCGGACCATCTCTTCTGGTACCTGTCACACAAAGGGTCGTAGTTTTGTATAACAAAACGATCATAAGATCCGAAATAAGCATTCGGTTCTCTTCATATTTTAAACATCTCATCATTTCTACTAGTAACACACTATGCTGTGAACATGGAATATATCGGTCCAGTCCTGCTGGTATCTCCCCCACAAAGGCTCAACATTTTGAATATCCATGAAGCTCACAAAATGCGAAATTAACATTTGATTTCATTCAGACTAGGTACATCTCAATACATCCATCAACACAAGTAGTCGATATAGTTCAAACCTGACACGTCACAATATTGATATCATATTTATTTAGATCTGATACGAAATGGACAATATTGGACAATTCTTTCGGAACCTACTCCATAGAGGGTCAACAATTTGATCAATCATAACAGACGTCAAAATATATTTAAATAATCGGGTATAAATGTGTCGGCAGAACCCACTGATACTTTTTAACTTGTTTATATAAAAGTCCTGTGGTTCTCTGTGAAATACATTTTTTCTTTTTTATGCAAAGGTAAAATTGCTCTTTGAGAAGATGTTTTGATTTTTTTGAACGAGTCTCCCTGTCCATCCATTAACACACTATGTACTCCCTTATGAGGAACTCTCTGCCATTTTTGATCAGAGCTTCTGAGAAAAGGATTTTATGAGAAGAGCAAGAAAACTTCCTAATATAACTTAATATATTTTTAAGAATATTTCCAAAACATTGTTGTATTGCAATCAAATGCCTCGAAAATGATAAAAAAAAAATAAATAAAAAATAAAATAAAAAAATACACTTGGCAAATAATTGTTTTCTTCCTTTTGTTTTGCAATTTAAGAAATTTGGAAGTGAAATAAGATCCTACGAAAAAAACGGCGGAAAAATTAAAAAAAAAAAACATAATTTTTAAAATATACTGCCGAAATTAGAGTTCTAGAATTGCAAGCAACTAGAAATGCTGATGCCGCTGATTAACTGGAAGCGGGCTTGGCTTGTTGCATTGCTGACGGCAAATGTTGGTCATTGACCGAGTTTTGCTATTGACAGTGAAACGGGAAGACAGACAACCACTTCTAGACAAATTGTTGCAACGAGAAATGTTTTTTTTTTGTTTTATTATCAAAATGTGACGATTAGTTCTGTCACTATCAGCATTTTTATTCCGTCCGATTGCCATTATGTCAGTAATTTTCGATTTTTCCATTTCAGTATATAATCCGAACAGAAACGGAACAGAAGCACAGTTCACTTTACCCTGAAAGTGATCGAGTGTTCTCTGGTTTCTGGTATTACAGAAGAAGATCCGGTTCGTGTTTTTGTTAATCTCTAGACAATGAATCCTTTGCGTACAGTTTGCCTGATGATGGGCGTCCTGGCCTTGGCTAGTGCCAACAGTGCTGGTCCCCGGCCCATGAGCATGAATTCGAATCGTAATACGATTAAGAATAGCATGAAACCCACCTCATGGATGTCGATTTCGACATTGCAATCGCTGCCCTCGTTGAAGGAAATCAAATTGAAGCAACTGGAAGAGATGTCGGCCTTTGAGGGAGCCGATTTGATCAATCGCTTGTGTAAGTGAACCCAGAAAAACATTTTTAAAATTTCTAATAAAATTTGATTTCTTTTTTTTCCCCCTTAGATCACCTGGCCCAAGCCACCCAGGCCTTGGAGCCCACCTATGCCCCCAGGGCGAGTGAGATCCCAGCCTTCCTTGTAACACCCGATAACCAGAAAATCGAATTCCAATTGAACGAATTGCCACGTGTGGCCCGCGAACAATCACACTGCGGCAAACAGGAGGTTACCGTTTTCATTACCGGCCTCCCCTCGAAATTGGAAAGTGTCAAGGAAGCCACCCGCAGCTTGACCCAGGCCTATATGCAACGTTACAATGATGAGTCCAGCTATTACCAAAACTCTGCCACCAGCAGCAGCAGCAGCCACTACCACCACAACAAGAAGCAACAACGTTCGGACAGTGATGAAGATAATTCCAACCAGAAACCTTCCGGCTGTTTGGTTGTTGTGAAATTCGGTGATACCATTAGCGATTTTGAGGAATACGCCACCGTGGACACCGAAAAGGTTGGCAAGGAAGTCGGTAATGTTTTGGTACAACTTTTGCAAAAGACCAACTGCAATCGCGACAATGTCCATTTGATTGGCTCCAATTTGGGCGCCAACATTGCCGGAGCTGCTGGTCGTCAATACACCAAGGTTACCAATCATCAATTGCGCCGCATCACCGGTTTGGACCCCGTCAAATGCTTTGCCAAGGATCCCGAGACATTGACCGGTTTGGCTCGTGGTGATGCCGAATTCGTTGATGCCATCCACACCACTGCCAACAGCATGGGTACCTCTGCCCGCGCCGCTGATGTTGACTTCTACCCCGAGGGACCCAATGAGGCTGTGCCCGGTGCCGACAACATTGTCGAATCTTCGATGCGTGCTGTCCGCTACTTTGCCGAATCCGTTGTGCCCGGCAATGAGCGTAACTTCCCAGCTGAGAGTGCCCACTCTTTGAACGAATACAAGAGCAGCAACACCTCGGGACGTCGCATCTACATGGGCATCAACACCACCTTCAAGGCTGAGGGTGACTACATGTTGCAGGTGAACACCAAGAGTCCATTCGGTCGCAGCACCCCTGCCCAAAAACAACAAAACGCCCATGGTGTCCACAAGTCGTGGAAAATGTCCTCTCGCGATGAGGAATAAATGGATGGAGAAGAAATCATTCAACTGACCCCGGCAATGTCTAATGGAAACCTGAGAGATAGATGTTTGGAACTGGTTCAACAGTTCGAATCGAACAATTTTTTTTTTTGTAATTTTGAATTTTTCTTTTGTAGTTTTTAAGTTCAATGAATATTGAAAAAAGATCATTGAAATATCAATTATGTGCTGTTTAATTTATATAAGATAGATCCGCTTTTATTAAACAAAAAAATTAGACAAATAATAAGAGAATTGCATATTAAAAAGCAAAATAAAACAAAGAGATTTTTTCTTAATTTTAGGGGAGGGAAAAATCACACTTACAACACAAAAAATAATAACAACGAAAATCCAGCAGATTATCAGAGTAGAGCTTAAAATAGAAGACAAGTGCAACGGCGTTTTGAGAACTTACAGGGTGAAATAAAAAAAAAAACTGCGACAAAGTCAAACGCCATTATTTTTACATTTTTTATACCCTCAGCCATATGGCTACAGAGGGTATATATCATTTGATACGGCCAAAACGTGCCTAGTCGAAATAACGGTTTTAGACCCTAGGTCTCTTTGGACCAAATCCGTTTCAGAACATTTGGAGTCGATCTAGCGATGTCCGTCCGTCTGTCTGTCTGTCTGGCTGGCTGGTGCGCACGATAACTCTCAAAGGGAGTATCCGATTTGGTCCAAATTGGGTACATCGTAATATTTTTGTCAAACTTAGATCTAGTTCGGCGATGGGCAATATCGGTCCACTCCTTCTGGTACCTCCCCCACAAAAGGTCGAAATTTTCAAAAAATATATATTTTGCACAGAATGAGAAAGGATAATCGAAATTTGCTCCAACTTTGCAAATCCTAATATTTGCGTCAGTGCTAGGTCAGGCGTGAAAATGGACAATATCGGTCCACTCCATCAAGTACCTCCCCCATAAATGGTCACAATTTTGAATAATTACAACTCTCATAAAATGTGATGTAAGAGTCCGATTATCTTCAAATTTCACACATCCTAATATTTATATTAACCCAAGGTCTGGTGTTAAGATGAACAATATTGGTCCACTCCTTCTGGTACCTCCCCCACAAAAGGTCGAAATGTTCAAAAAATATATTTTTGCACATAAAGTGAATGGATAATCCGATTCTGCTCCAACTTTGCATATCCTAAAATTTGCGTCAGTACTAGGTCAGGTGTGAAAATGGACAATATCGGTCTACTCCACCAAGTACCTCCCCCACAAATGGTCAAAATTTCGAATAATTACTATCTCATTAAATGTGATGTAAAAGTCCGATTGTCTTCAAATTTCACACATTTTAATATTTGTATTAACCCATGGTCTGGTGTGTAGGGTGAATACATCGGTCCACTCCTTCTGGTACCTCCCCCACAAAATATTGAAATTTTGAGTACCCATGAAGCTCATAAAAGGCCAAATTAACATCCGATTCCATTTAGACTTGGCACATCTGTCGCAATATTTATATCATATTGTTGGGTCCGATAGGAAATGGGCAATATTGGCCCATTCCTTCAGGACCTGCTCCATAGAGGGTCAAACGTTTGAATAATCTTAACACTAGTCAAAATATATTTAAATAATCGAACATAGGCTAAGGGTATATATCTGGCGTCAATACCGACTGATACTTTTTAACTTGTTTTTTTTTTTTTAATTTTAATTGAATGAAAGCAAACAATGTCGGAAATAGCATCAAATTTTAGAATAAGTTTAGATTTGTTCGAATTGGTCACCTTTGGCTCGAATGTGGCCTTCAATGAAACCGTCACACGCTGCCCGAATGTTGCTCGCGGTATTTTGGCCCATTCCCGGCAAAGCGTTTGCTTGAGGTGATCGACACTTTGGTATTTTTTAGTGCCAACCTTGCTTTCCAAAATACGCCAGACACAATAGTCCAACGGATTGGTATCCGTATATTTTTGTGGCCATTGTGCGCTGGAAATGAAGCGAGGAACCTCATTTTGTAGCCATTCATGGGTGGGGCGTGCTGAGGGCGATGGTGCTGAGTTCTGTTGGAGTGTCCAAGGTCAGCGGCCAAAATGTTTGCATGTCCAAGGCTAATACGCCCTCCAGAATATTTTCGCGATAATATATTGAGCATTTATTCTGATGCCACGGTCGATTAATACGAATAGAGAACGACCATCACTGTTATGGCGGCCCACACCATAACCATGGCCGGCGCTTGAGTTCTGGTGGCTAACCGAAGGTGCACATTTTCAGCTGACCTCTTTGGCAAGTAAACACGATCATTTTGTTTGTTTACAAACTGCTGGACAACAAATGTTTTCTCATCGGAGAAAACCAAATTCGGCAGTTCACCACTTTCGGCCAATCGAAGCAACTCTTTAGCTCTTTTGAGTCTATTTTCTTTCTGTTGCGGTGTAAGCGGTGTACGAAGCACAAAAGATTTATTCACATTTAAATGCTGGAGTGCTCCAAAGAGGAAAGGAACTCACACTATCGCGCTTGAAATCCATCACGAATAACTTTTTTTCTGGAAAATTCTCACCAAAATGTTTTGTACGCTATATTCCATTTTCAAACCTGTAGTGGGATTCTCTAACTCATTTATTGAATTACCGACAAAAATCGGTAACTTTCAGATGCAAAATTTTGTTATAAAAAACAAATAAAAGTTGACAACATTGGTATCTTTCGGTAGGTCATAGCGACGATTTTCATTTCGTAGTTAGCTTACTGAAAATTTTCGTTAATTACTGAAATTATAAGCATTTGAATTTTACCGATTTTTTTCCGTAACTCAGAAAATGATTTACAGAATTCCACTACTGACCTTGGGTTAATAAAAATATAGTGTTTTGTGTAATTTGAAGACAATCGAAGTCTTACATCCCATTTTGTGAGACTTATAATTATTCAAAATTTTGACCCTTTGTGGGGAAGGTACCAGAAGGAGTGGACTGATATATCCCATCTTCACACCAGACCTTGTGTTAGTAGAAGTATTGCGATATGTGAAATATGAAGAGAACCGGATGTTTGTTTCGGATTTTTTATGGTTTTTGTTATTCAAAACTTTTACCCTTTGTGGTGGAGGTACCAGAAGGAATGGTTTTATCTCTCTGCACCTTTATAACAGATCTTGTGTTGATACAAATATTGAGATGTGCCAAGTCTGAATGAAATAGGATGTTATTTTCCCGTGTTATAAGTTTCATGGATATCCAAAATGTTGGTGGAGGTACTAGAAGGACTGGATCCATAGCACTGATTTTCTGTGCAGAAAATATATTTTTTGAAAGTTTCGACCTTTTGTGGAGGATGTACCAGAAGGAGTGAACCGATATTGCCCATCTCCGAACTCGATCTAAGTTTGATAATAATATCGCGATGTACTCCCTTCGAGAGTTATCATGTGCACCTGCCAGACAGACGGACATAGCTAGATCGACTCCAAATGTCCAGAAACGGATTTGGTCCAAAGAGACCTAGGGTCTAAAACCGTTATTTCGACTAGGCACGTTTAGGCCGTATCAAATTATATATACCCTCTCTAACCTTATGGTTGAGGATGTAAATATTGGTGGTGGATTCATTGTGCAGTGGTGTTACTAATATCCTCCTCGGTAAGCTTCAAAATGAGCAATTTTTAAGATCTTTTACACCAAAGTAAACGTTTTCCTATTATTCTTTCCGAAAAAGAAAAACTCTTCAAAACCTTGAAATTCGGTGAATTTAGGACGATGTATGGGCTTTTGAGTAAAACAATGATGCCTAACACGAACTGTTGGAATGAATCAAAAATTTTGAGGTGGAATTTTCGCTGATGAAGTAGCGGGCACTTCTATCGAAATTTAGAATATTTTGATTTCTTTTTTTTCAGTTTTTGTTTTATACCCTCCACCATCGTTAACTTTGTCATTCCGTTTGTAACTCGTCGAAATATTCATAATAGACCCTACAAAGTATATATATTCTGGATCAGCGTAAAATTCTAAGACGATCTAGTGATGTCCGTCTGTCTGTCTTTAGTAATTACGCTATCTTTCGAACGAATTGAGATAGAAGGTAACATTTTGCATACATGCATAGTTAACCAGTAGGCAGGTTAAGTTCGTTAATGGGTCATGTCGGTCCACGTTTTGGTATAGCCCCCATATAACGGTACCTCCCGATATTCCGTATTTTGAAGATTTCAGCAACATTATTTACCGCAATTATTTATAATTTCGTATTTGAAGTTGGTAATGGGTACTACAGCCCATGACAAAAATTTTTGTCCAAATCTTCGTATAACCTCCATATAACGGTACCTTCGATATTCGGTATTTTCAGCAATATTATTCACCGGAATCGTTTCAAATTTCGTACTGGAAGATCCTAATGGGTACTACAACCTATGGTAAAAAATGTTGTATGTAGGTTCAGATCTTCGTATAACCACCAAATAACGGTATCTCCCGATATTTGGTATTTTCACGATTTTAGCGACATTATTTACCGGAATTATTTAAAATTTGGTATTTGAAGTTCGTAATGGGTACTACAGCCTATGACAAAACTTTTTGTATGCCGGTCAAAGTCTTCGTATAACCCACATATAACGGTACCTCCGGATATTCGGTATTTTGATGATTTCAGCAACATTTTTAACCGGCATCGTTTCAATTTTCGACATTATTTATCAGAATTATTTCAAATTTCGCATTTGAAGTTCGTAATGGGTGCTACAACCTATGACAAAAATTTTCGAATGCAAGTCCACGTCTTCGTATACTCCCTATTTAGCGGTTTTCAATTAAGTGGTAGTTTACGGATTTTTTTTTTTTTGAAAAATTTCAAGTTCCGTTCAAATGGTGGAGCGTATTAAAAGTTTCGCCCGGCCGAACTTAGTTGCTTTTTTACTTGTTTTACATTTTTTTTCTACTTACTTTTAAAGATGAACTTATTTGAATTTTCCATGCCTTAATAAATGACACTCATTAAATATTTTTATTTGAGTATTTTTTATTTATTTATATATTTTTTTGTTTTTTTTGTAATTCTTAATTATTCAATTGATGTTTTAAATATAAGAAATATGAATGGATGGCTCTCAATTGTATATTTATGCATGTATATGAATGGGGGAAAATATACACAAAATAAAGTCAAATATAAATTTCGAATTTCATGAATATTTTCAATTTTATAGAAGTGGAATATGTCAAAATAAATAGTCCAGTTTATTAACTAGAGACACTAAGTCAGGAGATTTCAGAAATTATTTAGAGAAACCATTTTGATTATGAGAGATGAGGGAGAGAGAGGGAGTGAGAAAGAGATGGGAAGGGAAGAGAATATAAACTATTTTGTTTGAGGATCTAAGTTCTCAGCCAGGGATGGAAGTTTCACTGCTGGATACAAAGAAGCAATGAGAAGACTTATTTCACAGAATTTTTGTTAGCGCAATAATCAAAGGGATAAAAAAGGGTTAACAAATTAATGAATTATTTGAAGTTTCGGATTGAAAAACAACTAATTTTATGACTGATGACAGCTGTGCTTTGATCCGGCTTTAGGTTGGAACGAAGAAGTAGTTGAATTTTCCATCTCTTTTGTCATTTATTTCATTTCCCGTTTGGGATGCTTTTCAAATTTTCTCCCAAAGTTTAAAATGGTTCTTTTATCCCCTACTTTTTCTGCCTGGTTTGTGTCTCTGCTAATTAAGCTCAGAGTTTATTTGAACAAATTCCAGAGGAAAACTTTAATTTACTTAATAAATATACATATCTGGAAGGACTTTAACATAAAACTCTTATAAATATCTTAAAAACTATAAGAGGAAAATGAAGAAAAAAATAAAAACAATAAAATTAAAAGATAAATTAAATAAAGACAAATCACATGAATAAGAAAAAACGGGAGGGAATAAAAGAAAGAATTAAAGAAAATCAAATCTTAAAAAAAAGTGTGGCAAAAAATATTCGAAATTTCAATTCAATGACATGAATTCAGTCAGTTTTCGTTTTTGTATCTTATGAATCATTACAATAAATTCAATTAATGATGATGGTGGAGATGATGTTGTCCTGGGTGTGATGTCCTGTTGCATCATCGCTTTTTGTGATAGTTTTTTTTTTGTGGCATAAATTTTCCTCGGAAATGAAAAACAGGACCTTCAAGTTTCGCTTTGCAAAGAAAACGAGTTATAGAAATAAACTACAGCAACATTATCTGATGTTGGGAGAGATTGAGAATGGAGAGCATGGTAGCTGTCAAAAAAGGACAAGAATGCCGGTCTCTCATTCCATGGAGGAAATGTTGTTCATTTAATATTTGTTGGCAGTCCGACCAGCATTTTCAAGTTTGATGGTTGTTGGTTACTCCTTTCACATTGTGGTTGTTTGTTGTTGATTCTTTTTCTACGACTGCCACTGCTGCTGCTACTTCGTTTACTAAATGACATTGAGTTGTTGTGTGTCTATGTGCGTGTATGAGTAGTTGTTGCTAGTCCTCTCTCTATTCATTGCATCCCAGGCCAGCTGCCCAATTGCACATGCCACCCACCGGATCATAGCTGAGACCCTTAGGGCAGGTATATTCCCAGCCCACAACACCGCCCGTCTCGAATTTGGCACAGGATATAAATTTGCGACACGACAGTGGATGCGGGAAGTTACCTTGATCCAGACATTCAATTAAGCCCCCACCGTGCAGAATCACTTTGAGCTGAAAAATGTGAATATATTATTTGTAGGGAGAGAAAGAGAGAGAGAGAAAAAAAAAGAGAATTGGTAAACGGGTTGGATTAAATGTTCAAATATTATCAATAAAATAGGTATGGAATAAAATTCATTTTTATGTAAATTAAATTAAATAAATTGAAATTGCCAGTAGGCAATCAGCGATGTGATGGCAAACATTTTGCCCCTCAATTGATTGTTGGAATTGAGGGGGAAATTTATGGGAAATGCCAATTTAAGTTCAGGATTGATTTGGCATTTCAGGATTAAAGGGAGAATTAACTCCTTGGGGACTTATAGAAGCAATAATTGTGAAATTGTTAAGGACTTTTCTGGAAGGATTTTTAAAGCTATAATCGGAATGTTTTGAGAATATTTTTAGAAGGACTATTAATAGGGGATTTTTTAAAAATATTTTAGAAGTTTTATGAAAACAAAAACTGTGGGGTTTTGAGAATATTTTTAGAAGGATTTTTGGAACTATAACCAGGTTTTTTTTTTAAATTTTTTATAAGATTTTTGAAAGCAATAATTGAAGATTTTTTAGAATATTCTTAAAGGACTATTAAAGTAATAATCTGGTTTTTTAATGAATGTTATTAGACGACTTATGAAAGCAGTAATCGTGGAGTATTTAAAAATATATTTAAAAATGACTTTTTTAAGGGATATGTTTTGAATATTTTTAAAGGACTGTTAAAGCAGTAATCGTGGAGTTTTTAAAAATATTTTAAAAAGGACTTCTTTGAGGATATTTTTTGAAGGACTATCAAGGCAATAATCAGGGATTTTTAAGAATTTATTTTGAAGGACTATTGAAGCTATAATTTTTTTAAAGAAATAATCATGGATTTTTTTTAAGTATTTTTAGAATTACAATGAAAGCAATAATCAAAGATTTTTTTAAGACTCCAAAAAGGCTATCAATGCAAAAATCGTCTATTTTTAAAGAATATTTTTTGAAAGACTATCATAGCAAAAATGACGGATTTTAGGAATATTTTATTGAAAGAACTATATAAGCTATTAAAACAATAATTCTTAATTTTTAATAATATTTTTGGAAAAAATTATACGAATATTTTCCAAAGGATTAACAAGTCAGTAATGAGGAATATTTTTAGAAGGACTACTAAAGCAGTGCTCGTGGATTTTTAAGAATATTTAAAAGGGTTTTTGAAAGCAATAATCATGAATTTTTTAATATAATTTCGAATGACTATTCAAACAGTAATCGGGAATGTTTTAGGAATATTTTAGAAGGACTATTTAATATATAAACGGGAGTTTCAACAATATTTTAAGAAGGACAATCAATGCAGTAGTCGAGACATTTTTAAATCAAGATTTTTTTTTACTTTTGAAGTAGATTTTTTGAAGGTTTGTCACAACAATCACCGGAGATTTTTAAAACATTTTTTAAGGACTTCGAAGCAATAATTTTGAATTATTTAGAAAAGATTACTTAATGAAAGATTATTTAATGAATAATGGAGGATTTTTTTAGAGATATTTAGAACGACTATTAAAGCAATAATCCTGGAGTTTGAAAAAAATTCCAACGAAAGCATGGGTTTTTATTCTCTATTCTTTATTTAGAAGATTATTTACCTTCTTCCAGGAGAGAAAAAGCGTATGTCAGTAGATATATTGATGAGATCTTCCCGGAAATAGTCATAAGATCTTTTAGAATCACCCTACTTAAAAATTTTAGAGGCGGTTTTGTAAATGTGTAGTATAATTGTTCTAAATTTAGTATTGGGTGAAAGTATGTAATCCTGAAATTTGATATGGATGTCACTGTTGGTGTCGGAGCAGCTGGTTTTGAAAAAGAATCAATAGTTGTACGAAAAGTACTAAATAGTACTAAATTTGTTATTGGATAAGGAATAGAGCTGTAATCACGAAATTTGACATGGATGTCACTGTTGGTGTCTATGGCTAAGAGAAGGAACTGTCTATGGCTAAGAGAAGGAATTTGCACTGCAATTGTACTAAATGGTGCTATTTGGCAATGGGGGGAAGTAGAAAGACAGAGAAATTTGATGTTGGTCGATTGTAAAATGGTTTTGTATACCCTCAGCCAGAAGGTATAGAGAAGGACCAAATCCGTTTCAGGACATTTGGAGTCGATCTAACGATGTCCTTCTGTCCGTCCGTCCGTCTAACTGGTCCACATCTAGATTTGGTCCAAACTTGGTACATATTTAATATTATTCTCAAACCTAGATCGAGTTCGGGGATGGACAATAACTCCTTCTGGTACCTCCCCCACTTAGGGTTTAAGATTTAAAAAAAACAAAACGCTCAAAGAAAGCGAAATAAGCAGTCGGTTCTGTTCAAATTACACACATCCAAATATATTTGCTATCGCAACCCCTTCTGGTACCTCACTCACAAAGGGTCACAAATTCCAATACTTATCTGTGGCACCTCATGCATATTTCCACATATTCCAAAAGTTTGCAGATATCTCATGTAAAGTATAGGAAGTAGTCGATATAATCCAAATCTGGCACGTTGTAATATTTATATCAGTCTTAGGTCAGATACGAAATGGTCAACATGGACCAACTGCTTCGGAACCTCTCCCATAAAAAGTCAACAGTTTCAATATTCATAACTCAAGGCTGGGGGTATAAATCTGTGGGTAAAACCGACTGATACTATTTTACTTGTCTCTTTTAATATCCAAAATTCGAATATTTCAAAAATTCCCTGCAAAAAGGGACATGTTCCTAAATTTTGTAGTGGGTCAGATATGTAGTCCCAGGGATTGTTCAAGTTCATTTACAAGTTTTCGCTTTAAGAAATTTTCAGATAATTGTATTATATAATTGCAAATAAGGAACATCGGACTCATAGAGGTATAACTGTTGTCATAACTTATACGCCACCGTCATTGGGCTAAGAAAGATATTTCCCGTACTTCTGGGAGCACCAAAAGAGAGCTGCTGATTCTCACCACACTTTTTCTCTTTTTATATGTCCACCCTTTTTTTTATTTTAATAAACCTAAATTCCCATCAAGCAAGGACATGTTTCTAAATTTTATTCGTTGGCCTGATATTTAGTTTCAGGGATTGATAAATGTATTTTTGCTGACAATTATTATTATTATTATTATTATTATTATTATTATTATTATTATTATTATTATTATTATTATTATTATTATTATTATTATTATTATTATTATTATTATTATTATAATTATTATTATTATTATTATAATAAATCAGATAATTGCTTTACAGGACATGAGACTTTTGGACATATAGGAATACTGGACGTATGAGTGTTGTCATTACTTATACGCAACCATTTAGAAAGATATATTTACTTCATTATCCCTTCCTTCTTTGAGGATATAGTCGATTTTTATAGGATTTCCTGTGCATAAAAATTTTTCATGTGCCATAACAGTGGCCCTAGAGATTGTTAAAGATCCCATTTGCTATAAAATGAAATTCTGCTAAATATGCAATTTCAAGCCATTAATGAAGGTCCTTCTCTTTTTCTCAACATCCTTACATCCTCAATACCTTTATTGCACTCAAGTTTATTGACTTGAATTACCCTAACCCTTCTTAATATTCATTTCAATTGCACAGACATTTACAAATTCAACTCCACTTCACTCCTTCAACTCACCTGCTGATTTTTACGATTCCCCACCACTCGAGAGTCATCATCATCGTAATAGTCATAATCGTAGCTGGTACGTTCCGACGACGTTTTCGAAACGGCCTTCGTGTCATAGCTATTGGGTCGATTAAAAGGCTCTTGATATTTGTGCGGCCTACGGTTACTGCCTACTTTTTGGCTATCCGATGTGGAAATGGGTGTTGGCTTTGATGGTTTCTGTTGCTGTTTGACTATCAATTTGCCTGGAGCGAGGGAGGGATAGATGGACAAAATCACAAATTAATTCAAATGAAAATTGATTAAACTTCCGTAGAATAATTGTTGGCTGACTTACGTTTTTTGAGCAAGGGTTTTGGCGATGTGGCCGTGCTGGGGGTGGTGCTGGAGAGATATCTCGATGTTGGCCGCAGCGTTGATGTGGTACTCGAGGCTCTAATTGAACCTCGGCCGCCACCACCTGCTGTGCCATCCATTCGCCTGGTTATGACATCCTCCAAATTATAATTTGTCTGTTGCTGTTGTTGCTGTTGATGATGTGACTGGTCCCCCCGGTAGTTGTAGATTTGTTGATTACTCTCTAGTTGTTGCTGCTGCTGCTGATGTTGTAAAAATCGTGATGTTGGATCCCGTGAGGTTGTTGACTGGGCCGTTGGCTTTTGTACGTTGTTTATCAAACGGGTGGTGGCCAATGCCACTCCAACGCCACGCCGCTCATCATCTTCATCTTCGTCGTCGTTGTGGAGGCGGCCATTAATTTGATTGAATAGACTTGTATGAATGCTGGACTTGGCCACTTGATCGGTGTCCTCGTCGTTGTCTAAACTATCGAAATAGATGGTCGTGAGTGGAGCGTCTGTGGTAACAGTTACACCACCAGTCGTTGGACGTATTGTGGTGCCGGCCTTTAGCCGTGTTGGCAACAATGTTCTAACGTTAAAGGGTGGCAGGGTTGTCGATGGCCCCGTAGTCGTAGTGGTGGTTGTCAAACTGAAACGTCTCTTGAATAGAGGGTTCTGTGTACGTGGTTGATCTGATCCTAGAATAACGGTTAGAGAAGGGAAATAACAACATGTGTCAGTTATATGAATTGAAAACAATTAAAAATAAAAATTGAATGAAAAAAAACGACATGGATTTAGTTTTCATCAAAAAATCTATGGGGAAAAAAATATTGGAGTCATAAAACATTTTGTAAATGTCAAAAGCACATATAACTATGAAAAAATGGCCATGTAAATCTATGGACATTTATGCTACCACAATAGCATTACATTTGTATTTCTAGGTAGAATGCAAAATGAACTAAGTCTGGAAATTTCATAAAATGCCCTTCAAGTTTCTTGGTTATATTTTTCGAGCTTTTGTGGAATGGAATTAAAAAGCCTTGAGTTATGATTATTCAAACACTTGAACCGAAGCAGTTGACCAATATTGTCCAATTCGAATTTGACCTACGTCTGATATAAATATTACAAAGTGCCAGATTAGGACTATATCGTCTACTCCCTATACTTTATATGAGATATGTGCAAATTTTTGGAAAATGCGGAAATATCGGTCCGAAATATTCCACTTCATCTAACACAAATAAAAATATTGGTATGTGTAAAATTTAATGGAAATCGAACACTTGGAAAATCGAATGCCATAACTTTTACATTTTTTTTTTAAATTTATTGAATGAAAAAATGTCGGAAATAGCATCAAATTTTAGAATAAGTTTAGATTTTTTCGAATTGGTCACATTTTGCACGAATTATGGCCAATGAAACCGTCACAAGCTGCCCGAATGTTGCTCTTCGGTATTTTGGCCCATTCTCGGCGAAGCGCTTGCTTGAGGGGATCGACACTTTGGTATTTTTTAGTGACAACCTTGCTTTCTCCAAACACAATAGTACAACAGATTGGTATCCGGAGATTTTGGTGGCCAATGTGCGTTGGAATTGAAGCGAGGAATCTCATTTTGTATCTATTGTTGGGTGGCGCGTGCTGAGTGCGAATTCCTTTGGAATGTCCAGGGTTAGCAGCCAAAATGTTTGCGTGCCCAAGGGTTTAATACACACTTCAGAATATTTTCGCGATTTATTCTAATGCCACGGTCGATTAATACGAGCGGAGAGCGAACATTGGCTGTTATGGCGGCCCATACCTATCACTATGGACGGCGCTTGAGTTCTGGTGACCAACCGAAGGTGCACATTTTCAGCTGACCTCTTTGACAAGTAAACACGATCAGCTTTATTGTTTACAAACTGCTGGACAACGAATTCGGCAGTTCACAACTTTCGGCCAAGCGAAGCAACTCTTTAGCTCTTTTGAGTCTTTCTTTTCTTTCTGTTGCGGTGTAAGTTCTTGCACTTTTTGGAATTTCAATGGCTTTACCCCGAGCTCATTTTTCAATATTTGCCGAATGGAATATTACGATATGTTCAGCTCACAAGCCATTTTTCAGCCACTGCGACGCGGTTTTCGATCAAGTCGCTTCTTTACTTTTCGAACTATTTCTGCTGATGTTGCTGTTTTCTTCCGTCCACTTCCTTGACGTCTGGCTACGCTACCAGAATCACGGTAACGAGCGGTGGTACGAGACACAACAGATTTATTCACATTTAATGGGATGTGTGAAATATGAGGAGAGCCGGATGCTTTTTTCGGATTTTATAATTGTTTTGGTTGTTCAAAACTTTGACGCTTTGTGGGGCAGGTACCAAAAGGAATCGTCCGATCTCTACCATTTTAATAACAGATTTTTATAACAAAGGGATGTACCAAGTCTGAATGGAATCGGATGTTAATTTCGCGTTTTATGAGCTTCATGGATATTCAAAATTCTGACCCTTTGTGGGGGAGGTACCAGAAGGAGTATACCGATATGTCCCATCTTCACAGCAGATCGTGTGTTGGTAGAAATAATGGGATTTGTGAAATATTAAGAGAACTGGATGCTTATTTCGGATTTTATTATCGTTTTGGTTATTCAAAACTTTGACCCATTGTGGGGGAGGTACCAGAAGAAATGGTCCGATCTCTACCATTTTTATAACAGATTTTGTGTTGATGAAAATATTCAGATGTACCAAGTCTGAATGGAATCGAATGCTAATTTCGGGTTTTATGAGCTTTATGGATATTCAAAATTTTTACCCGTAGTAGGGGAGGTACCAAAAGGAACGGACCGATATATTCCATCTTCACACCAGACCTTGGTTTAGTAAAGATATTGTGATGTGTGTAATTTGAAGACAATCGGACTCTTACATCACATTTTAAAGGAGTTGTAATTATTCAAGATTTCGACCCTTTGTGTGGGAGGTACTTGATGGAGAGAACCAATATTGTCCATTTTCGCACCTGATATAGCTCTGATACAATTTTTAGGATTTGCAAAGTTTTTGCCAAATCGGATTATCATTTCCCTTTCCGTGCAGAAAATTATTTTATTTAAAAATGTTGACCTTTTTTGGGGGATGTACCAGAAGGAGTGGACCGATATTGCCCATCTTGGAACTCTAAGTAAGTTTGAAAATAATATTACGGTGTACCAAGTTTTGACGAAATCGGATGCTCCTTTCGAGAGTTATTGTGCGCATCAGCCAGCCAGATGGACGAAATTCGCTAGATAGACTCCAAATGTCCTAAAACGGATTTGTTTTAAAGAGACCTCTAAAACCGTTATTTCGATGAGGCACGTTTTGGCCGTTTTGGATGTGGTTCACAGAAATCACGTTTTGGCCGTATCAAATGTGCTTTGTCTTTGCCTAGCTATATCTCTGAGGGTATAATGAGAACAGAATTTACGTTTCTCATCTGATTTTTTTATACTCCAAACTTCTCTTTTCCACCATTGTTAGTAAATCCATTTTGCATTCCCATACACACATTCCCCACACACATCATATCGATTGCATGTTAGTCTAACCAATTGCTTTGTTTGCACACATTCAATTCTACACAAAGTAGCAGCAGCACTGGGACAGAGAGCGAGAGATGTCATCAAAGATGCACACAACCATTTTCAAGATGAGCATTTTAATTGCTTTTCACTTTGGCATTTAAAGTTTGCCTTTAGCGAGCGTTTGTCTGATTGTGACTGTTGTGACTCTGGCTCGGATGATGATGATGTCGATGATGCCATTTACTAGTCTTCTTCGTTGTTGCTGTTGTGGGGCTGGCGGTGGTGAACAAGTACCCCTTACATGGTAATTGTAGAGTTTATGTTGTTGTTTTTTTACATTGCCAGTTTGCAACAGCTTGAACACATAATTGTGGCGAAAAATGTTGCCATCATCAGTGTCTTCTTCTTCATCGTGGTTTGGATTGCCTGCTCACTGACTTTGCAACATAATTACATCAATGGAGACATAGATGCCATTTGTTTGCATTTTTTTGTGAAACGACACAATAACTTTTTGTCTTGAATTGCATGAATAATGGTTTAAAGTGAATTGTAGATTTTGTAATGAAATTAAATGTTAAGTAAATTAAATAAAATATAATTTTCCAAAATTATGGAATAAAATTTAAATTATAATTAATTTAATATTCTAGTGTACCCTCCGGCGTATAACTATTGTTGGCACTCATACGCCCTATTATGGCGAAAAGAATAAAATTATTATATATTTTATAACATTTAGGATAATTAACAATTTGTGTTATATAAAAGTAATTAGAAAGTACAGTTGTTTCTCAGTCTGGTCTTTAATTACAATTACAACAAGTTAAAAAGCAGTAAGTTCGACCGGGACGAAATTTTAAATACCCTCTACCATTTGGAACGAATTTGGAAAATTTCAAAAAATTAAATCCATTAAAAATTCTGTTAAAATTTTAAAAATACCGAATATAGCCGTTATATTGGGGTCTATACAACGTGGACCTACATAGGCATTGTTTGTTAAAAACCATTAACCATATTATAAAGTGGTATAAAGTAGCATCTTCAAAATACCGTAAATAGGAAGGTACAGTTATATAGGAGCAATACGAAGACCTGGACCTGCATAGACAATTTTTTGTCACAGGCTGTAGCATCCATTACGAACTTCAAATACGATATTTCAAACAATTTCGGTGAGTATTGTACCTGTAATCATCAAAATACCGAATATTGGGAGGTATCGTTATAGGGGGGCTATACGAAGACCTGGACCTGCATAGACAATTTTCTGTCACAGGCTGTAGCATCCATTACGAACTTCAAATGCCAAATTTGAAACAATTTCGGTGAATAATGTCGCTAAAATCATCAAAATACCGAATATAGGGAGGTACCGTTATATGGGGGCTATACGAAGACGTGAACCGGCACAGACAATTTTCTGTCCTAGGCTGAAGCATCCGTTAGGAACTTCAAGTACCAAATTTGAAATAATTCCGGTGAATAATATCGCTAAAATCATCAAAATACTGCATATTGGGAGGCACCGTTATATGTTGGCTATATGAAAACGTGGACCTACATGACCCATTTACGAAACTCTGAAAGTTTTGTCTACATTCCACCATGCTCTAACCTCTGATTTAATTCAAATAACACAAATTCGTCACTTTTTACTGTAAAACTCTGATTTCCACAATAGAAATTCTTCAGTTAATTGGTTCATATTTTTATGCCCTCCATCACAAAATGGATATGGGTCTGCTCCAGAACTGTAAGAATGTGAAACTTTTGTAAAACTGATTTTCACTTTATTATATCAAAAAAAATTGTAAAATTTGTATCTTCTGGTAGGTTTTGGAAGAGAGTGAATGTGTACACATATTTTTGATCAACCTGAAAATCTACACCAACTTTGCGAGTACAGTCGTTCTTTATAATTTTCACGATCGATTCATCTAAAACTTTTTTATACCTTCAGCCACATGAATAGAGAGGATGTATATCACAACGTGTCTCATCGAAATAAAACGATTTTAGACCCTAGGTCTCTTTTGACCAAATCCGTTTCAGGACATTTGGAGTCGATGGAGTCGGAATATCCCATTTGGCCCAAATATCTATTCAATCCTTCTGGTACCTTCCCCTCAAAAGAT